CTTTTGATAAGCAGTGCACTAAGGACAAGGCCATTGGCTAGGATTGACAACAAAGGGGCATGAGTGAAAAGTAACTTAGATAAGATGAGAAAAAAGGCACCACAAAGCTGGTACAAGAGCATGGGTCAAGAGCTTGGCTAACATGTCTCCCCATTCAACAGCTAGGGTATGCTTACAGCAAGCAAGACTTCAGAGATGCTGTTCATCTACGTGGTATGGTTGGGACATCCCCAACACCCCAAGATTTTGCGATTGTGGGGTGTTGCAAGAATGATCATAATCATATCCTCAACTGTAAGAGAGGGGGGTATGTGAACTACAGTCATAACAACGTGAGAGACTCTGTTGCTGAATACCTTAGGCTGGTGACCAAGGATGTGAGGATTGAGCCCCTTTTAACACCTATAGAATCAGCCAACTTCCAACAAAAGGGAAACAATGCTGATAAGGCTAGGCTCGATATATCAGCAAGAGGAGTGTGGAGCACATTTAAGAGGACTTTCTTTGATTTGCGCATTTTCAATCCTAAATTGCCTACATATCAAGGAAAGACCATACCACAGCTCTACACTCTGCACGAGAATGAGAAAAATAACAAGTACATGAACCGAGTGCTACAATTGGAGAAAGCGTCATTCGTCCCCCTTGTATTTACCACTACAGGAGGAATGGCACCTGAGGCCAAGCGTTTCATAAGGAGACTTGCTGTGTTGATTGCCACCAAGACCACAGCCAGGTGATGTGTAACATCAGGACATGCCTGAGCATGGATATAATGAGGAGTGTGCTAGTAGCAGTTAGAGGTGTACGTGGAAAGGCAAAGAAGGCATGGACCACCCGTATATCCAATGTCTCCTTCAACCTGATACCTGAGGAGAAGAGCTACGAGGGATAGATGATATCTATTGCTCAGGATCTACGATTGTGCTCTGCCAATTGCATCACTTGATTTAATTTATTGTATATATATATATATACTGTTTGCCAACAAAAAAAAGGCACCACAGAGTGACTCTTAAATATCATAGACTTGCATGGTAACTTACAGATTGGACTACAGACGAGTCTGTACATTTTAACTCCTATAGTTAACTCCTATAGTTAACTCCTATAGTTCAGATTTAGCCATGGCATGACTACTCAAACGTAACAGTTAAATAAGTGTGACATACCATTATATTCTTATAATTATATCATATGAATTGATTGCACTGCTAATAAATAAAATACTTTGTTTTACTAAGATACTTTGTTTTACTAGTTAAGATCATGTCATGCTCATCTCAGGTACCTTGGTTAGGAATTGAAAGACAGGAAATAAGATGAGATAAGAAGAAGCGACACGAGAGAGGCTCACAAGAAGCTACGTCCTAATGGCAGAGAATATTAGACTGTATACATATTAAATATGTGTGGATATTTATCAGGAATGCAAATAAAATAATTTAATTCCCATGAGCATGTTCCAAAATGATATGATATAATGATTTGTGATTGTATGATATGAAATGAAATAAAGCTCGTCTTGACTGTCACGTATCCGCAGAGGAGTTTTGTTGAGGTGTAGCGGGCACTTTACAGTTGGACTTCAGCAAATCCTTCTTAGTGACTTTCTTCTTCGGGAAACGCCTGTTGTTCGCGAAAAGTTTTATTTTGGACCTTATAAAAGTGCGCAGCTTTAACTTTACGGATTTTTGTTTTCTGATTGGCTGTGAAGACGCGATTACCTGTAGGCGCACATTGTCATACGTTGTACGACCCGCCGCGCACTCGCGCGCGGCTCCCCCTGTCATGTATCATCAGGACGATAAACGATAAAGTGAAACGACCGTGGAGGTCACGACGTGATACAAAACGCACATTAAACGGCTCACAATTTTGTTTTATTTTGCATTTTGTTCACTTTTCGCTTTTAAATTCAAAATTAAAGCTTAATTTTTAAAATTTTCATAATTATTACAACTTCACACTTTATGCTTCTAAAATTCTTTAATAATTAATAAAAAATTAAATTAATAATATAATAATTCTTCAATAATTAATAATATATATATATATAATTAATAATATAATTGTAAGATAACTGATAACAAACCACGCGCGCGCGCGGCGCTTACATCTGCACCTGAGAATCTCTCGGCAATGTGTGGTTGCTACGGCTTTTACTAATTCGCTCGCCCAAAAATTTCACGTGACTTTGGGTTTTTAAAATTTTTTAAAAACATTTCAGATAGATTTGGACATACTAGTTACGCCGCGCACATCTCAGTATTAGTATCTAGAGATTAGCTGAAAATTAGCTTAAAGATGAAATCGAGCGCCTGTTATAATTAGGTTTCCCCGACCGTAACCATTCAGACTAGCTGTTTAGTTGTTGCCCCGTCGGAATCGTTAGTCCAGATCAAATTGAGTGCTCATTGCTGTACAATTATAATTATAAACATTTCACTAATGATGATGCGATATTCGGTTAACAATACAGCAGTGTAAGTTGTGGCAAAACATGCTATTTTGCAGCCATAATTTTCTCATCATTTCTGCATCTGTCGTGTCGAAACTGCCAATTTATTTGTTTACAGAATATGTGGGTGAATGAAATTCCCCTGACATGTGGTATGACCGTGACTCTGGTATTCTATTCGATCGGTCGTTGGTCAAAACATATACACACTAGAATATCATTTCGTGGGAACTTAAAGTTGGAAATTTAACGTTTAAAACTCTTTTTTGATAACTGAACATAACCTTAGATTTGTACGATGAATACTCAAATTGAACTTTACAACACTCTGTCAAGAAGGCTAAAACTATTCTGTTCCGATTTTACCTATCTGAATTGTTAGGTGGAAAGAACAACTCGTCTTTCCCTATTTCACCACATCATTTACAGTGCCTCTAATATCTTGTTACTGCATGATTTGATGCTTCAGATGCCAGATATAGGTACCTCCATGCCTGATACCAGCTAGGATTGTGTAGTCCATTCTAAAACATCATTGGCTGCCTATTAGTTACAGAATTCAATATAAGTTATTGCTTCTTGTCTATAAATGTCTTAATGGTATGGGACCAGATTATTTAAGTGATATGTTTAAATATGCCAATTATAATCATCTTATCTATTTGACTGAACCAAGAGTATATTCACAGTATGGAGAAAGATCGTTTCAGAAAGTTGGCCCTAAATTATGGAATGAGCTGCCATTTGAAATTAAGAATTGCATGTCACTGGAATCTTTTAAAGTGTATCTGAAAACGTTTCTTTTTAAACGTGCTTTTGATATTAATTAATTTACTATTTTTTCAACGTTTCTACTGTTAAGTGCATACCCTTAACCTTGTAATTTAGTGTATCAAGTCTTTACAATTTTCTATGGTTTGAAACCTAAATGTGGATTGCTTTTCAGGTTCCTTGTATCCTGACTTGTTTTCGTGGCACACCTGTGCATTTTAAGTTGTTGTGCCACTATAATCTATAAGTTTAAATTATTATTATTATTATTTATAATATAATATTGGTAACTTAATTGGTGAAGAAATGAGGAAACACGCTTTGTTTGTTTGGGCCCGGACGGTGCCGGTGGTTCTAATGACCATTTACTAAAATACATAAATACAAAATACAATATAGTATAAATATTATAATCAGAAGTTTTATAAATCCTATCCGTCCAAGTTAAACTTGAAGGGCGCTACACGCACGACGAAAACTCCCTTTAATGTGAGCTGAAGTAGACTACTAGTAGTAGAGCTAGTAGCGCTTGAAATTGACAGAACTGAAAACGAAATCTGACAATTGTCGCGAAAACTGACAGTTTTGTGTGCTCAAAGTGTCGAGAAATACTGACAGTGCAAGACTGGGCACACAAGAGTGAGTTAAAACATCCTCCACACAACAAAAACTTGAATACACTAATAATAATCAATTATTAAAAACACACGAGCTCATTCTGCAGTCTTATTAGTCTTATCAGTACTCTTTATAGCACCGTTTCTGATAAAGTGTAGCTTATCAGGCTGCTCAGTTACCAGTCGTTTGATGTCCCTGACGAGTTCTCTCTGCTTGGCTCTCTGTTCTGGAGATCGATCTGGGCTGATAAAAACAGTTTTAAACTTTTCCGTTGCTCGCAGGTTTCTCGATTTAGCGAGAATCTGATTAACAATTGTTGCACTTGCCGCAGTCACTTTAACTGGTCTCACAGCCTTGCCAGGTTTGAGCTTTCCGACTCTACTAGCTTCGATTCTGGGTTTCTCTCCGATTGCTAAAAACACTTCACTGACCACGGTGCTGAGCTCCTCATTGTCCTGCTCCGATAAACCAAAAATCATCAGATTTTTGTTTCGGTCTTCCTCCTGTACCACAGTTTTCACAGCTTTCTTGATCATTTCAGAACTGACAGGCTTCTGAGATTCTGGACAATTCGCCTGTAATACCGAGCTGAAGGATTGGAATTCAGCCTTGACAGACTCTCCGACTGACGATTTAACTGACGTCTGCAACGATTCCAACTGTTCATTTTTGCAGGCTAGTAGTTCTGACTGCAGCTTAATGATGGTCTCCTGTGTCTCGAACATCTGACGTTTAACTGAGTTTGAGGCCATCTTGTAGTCCGTGGATACGACACCAGTGAACTCCTCCAAATATCTTAATGCCTCGTGCAACAAGTTACACGCAGTGTCCTTGTTCATCTTCTTCACGCACGAAGGGGATAGTTGCTTCATTGCTGTGATCTCCATCTCGTACATAGCCTTGCTGAGAAGTTCAACTGAGTCACCCCTTAACATGTTGATATCCTTTTCACCATACTCGCTGGGCGGGATGGTCATGGTCGTGTAACACGGTGATACACAAACCACTGTAGCTGCACGTTACAATCAACAGAGATAAGCACTAAGATAAGAGAGTAAGAAAAGAGCAACGTATGCAATTAGTGTAATACTGAACAATTCACATTTGACTTATCTTTTAATTGTTACTCCACTAACCAGATCTTAACCCTAGCATGAGAAGGTTGTGTTCGGTTCTAGTGAGCTTGGTGCTAGTATGCTTTGTGGATCTTACTGACTCAGGTCCAGCAGGTATGTTACTGTGTTACAGTCACATGGGGGGGGGGGGGGGTGTCACGTCCGTCTATGTCCGCTTGTCTCATAGAATCCAAAAAGGACAGGACATAGGCGGACATAGACGGACATAGGCGGACATAGGCGGACATAGACGGACATAGGCGGACATAGGCGGACATTAATGGACACCTAAATTGCTAAATAAAATGTTCAATTTTTGCTGTTATAGGGGGATCATGTTTTTTGTCCGTTCGGTACCCTATATTTTCAAAACGGACAAAAAATAGAGCGGACAAAAATGGACAAAAACGGACAAAAATGAAAATAACATTTAGATGCTTCCTCCTCCTACTCTTCCTCCTCCCCCTGGGTCTTCCTGATCTTCCTCAGTCCTCTTCCTCCTCCCCTCCTCAGTCCTCCTCCTACTCCTCCTCCTCGTCCTCAGTCCTCCTCATCAGTCCTTCTCCTCCCCAGTCCTCCTCGGTCCTCCTCCTCCTGAGTCCTCCTCCTGGGTCCTCCTCCTGGGTCCTCCTCCTCTTCATCCTCCTCCTCTTCCTCCTCAGTCCTCAGTCCTCCTCAGTCCTCCTCCTCATCCTTCTCCTCAGTCCTCCATCCTCCTCCTCAGTCCTCCCCCAGTCCCCCTCCTCCTCCTCCTATTCAGTCCTCCTCCTCCTCCTCCTTCTCAGTCCTCCTCACTCCTCAGTCCTCCTCCTCCTCCTGAGTCCTCCTCCTCCTCCTCCTCCTCTTCCCTCTCAGTCATCCTCCTCAGCCATCCTCCTCAGTCCTCAGTCCTCCTCCTCTTCCTCCTCGGTCCTCAGTCCTCCTCCTGGGTCCTCCTCCTCATCCTTCTCATCAGTCCTCCTCCTCCCCAGTCCTCTCCCAGTCCCCCTCCTTCTCCTCCTCCTCCTGGGTCCTCCTCCTCGGTCCTCAGTCCTCCTCCTCTTCCTCCTCGGTCCTCAGTCCTCCTCCTGGGTCCTCCTCCTCATCCTTCTCATCAGTCCTCCTCCTCCCCAGTCCTCTCCCAGTCCCCCTCCTTCTCCTCCTCCTATTCAGTCCTCCTCCTCCTCCTCCTCCTCAGTTCTCCTCAGTCCTCCTTCTCATTTCTCCTAAGTCCTCCTCCTGAGTCCTCCTCCTGAGTCCTCCTCCTCTTCCTTCTGAGTCCTCCTCCTGAGTCCTCCTCCTCCTCCCTCTCAGTCATCCTCCTCAGTCATCCTCCTCAGCCATCCTCCCCAGCCATCCTCCTCAGCCATCCTCCTCAGTACTCCTCAGTCCTCCTCCTCCTCCTGGGTCATCCTCCTCCTCCTCCTCCTGGGTCCTCCTGGGTCTTCCTGATCCTCCCCAGTCCTCTTCCTCCTCCCCTCCTCAGTCCTCCTCCTACTCCTCCTCCTCGTCCTCAGTCCTCCTCATCAGTCCTCAACAGTTCTCCTCCTCCCCAGTCCTCCTCCTCCTCCTGGGGCCTTTTCCTGGGTCTTCCTCCTGGGTCCTCCTCCTCCTGGGTCCTCCTCCTCCTGGGTCCTCCTTCTCCTCCTCAGTCCTTCTCCTCCTCCTCCTCAGTCCTCTTCCTCCTCTTCCTCCTCCTCCTCCCTCTCAGTCATCCTCCTTCTCAGTCATCGTCAGTCCTCCTCCTCAGTCCTCCTCAGTCCTCCTCCTCCTCCTGGGTCATCCTCCTCCTCCTCCTCCTGGGTCCTCCTGGGTCTTCCTGATCCTCCCCAGTCCTCTTCCTCCTCCCCTCCTCAGTCCTCCTCCTACTCCTCCTCCTCGTCCTCAGTCCTCCTCATCAGTCCTCAACAGTTCTCCTCCTCCCCAGTCCTCCTCCTCCTCCTGGGGCCTTTTCCTGGGTCCTCCTCCTGGGTCCTCCTCCTCCTGGGTCCTCCTCCTCCTGGGTCCTCCTTCTCCTCCTCAGTCCTTCTCCTCCTCCTCCTCAGTCCTCTTCCTCCTCTTCCTCCTCCTCCTCCCTCTCAGTCATCCTCCTCAGCCATCCTCCTCAGCCATCCTCCTCAGTCCTCCTCCTTCTCAGTCCTCCTCCTGAGTCCTCCTCCTCCTCAGTCATCCTCCTCAGTTCTCCTCCTCCTCCTCCTAGGTCCTCCTTCTGGGTCCTCCTCCTCCTGGGTCTTCCTGATCCTTCTCCTCCCTCTCAGTCATCCTCGTCAGTCATCCTCCTCAGTCATCCTCCTCAGCCATCCTCCTCAGCCATCCTTCTCAGCCATCCTCCTCAGTACTCTTCAGTACTCTTCAGTACTCTTCAGTCCTCAAAAGGTTTGTCCGCTAATGTCCACCAATGTCCGCTAATGTCCACCAATGTCCATCCAAGTCCGCCAATGTCCGTCCGAGTCCGCCAATGTCCGTCCGAGTCCGCCAATGTCCATCCAAGTCCGCCAATGTCCGTCCGTGTCCGCCAATGTCCCAAAAAACACGTCCGTTGTCTCATAGAATCCAAAACGGACAGGACATAGGCGGACATAGACGGACATGACACCCCCCCCCCCCCACATGCTTTTAAGGTGAACTAGGTTTTTTGTTGTCCGGTCTGGGCTTTACATTTTCTGTTTGATTTATTTAAAATTGAAATTAAGCAAGATTGCTGAAAAATAGGTCCATTACTTATACTATGTAGTTGCTTAGTTGCAGAGCCTTGGAATCGTTCAATTTCTTAAATTGGACCTAAAGTATTAGAATGATAACAAATAACTGTTGTATCTCTTGTTTATCCTGTATCTTTTATCATTTACTACAGTGTTATAATAATAAATTCACTGGACAAGTCAGTCAAATAAATTGATTTCCCCAGTATTAATATCCCTCATTTCTCAGCTTTTGTCCAATTTCTCACCATTTGCAATTAAGAAAACTCCCAAGTCCCAACTCTTTAATAATGTACTTGAAATGCCATAAATAAACATACATTGCCAAGGACACATGACCCAGTGTAAACTAATCTATTCATGCTTTCGAAATGGTATCATAGTAAGGCCACTGATCAATATCAAGTTGAATTAAATATGATCTTTTAGTGAACATCTTTTAGTCCGGTCGAAAAGAAAACTGGTCATTTAAACAGAATGTCAAGTTTACGATTATATTCCTACAGGCAATCCCACAGCTCAGCCTACAACTGAAACTATTCAGAAAAGTAATGCCCAGGCTAAAAACACTGTAACTTCGTCTCTAAAACAGAAAATCAGGTCTCACCCCAAGCAGGCTTCTAAACCCAAATCCAGGCCTGATTCTGCTAGATCTAATGTCCGACCTGAACTGAAACTTAAATTTACAGGTTATTAATATTAAATGCATGGTCCATCTAGTAATTATTCGGCCTGGCCTCATGGTTTATATTTACAAAGTTTATTGATCGTCTTTAAAGTGTCTCGAAAACCGGATTGAAAGGATTTAATAACAGATTTAATAACCATAAGTAAGAATATACCTCCACAATACACATGACTAGTAAACTGACTCCTCTGCTCTCTGATTATGAAACCCCCTGGTGGCTGGGGTTTTAATTGGTTTAGCATCGTTACTGTTATATCCATACCCTGCACAAACACTCGTCTAAATTATACTCTTAATTTATTGATCTATGAATCAAAATAGAATTTAAGTTTCTATTTTCACCAAAATTATATAACAACAACTTCCTTCAGACGGCTGTAACCAGACGGACTTTGAGACGTTATGGGCGAAAACACACGGAACAGTAAAGTGGGCTATCAAAGATAGGGCCGGTGTTCCAGGGGTTGTAAAATGTACCAAGGGGTACATTTTCAATGGCACAGAAGATTTGGTTTATTGTCCTCCTGGTTCCGAAACGTATGCGCTAGCTGACCCAAAAGGAGCCTGTATTGATGATCCTTTCAGTGAGTTTAATTTAATTCTTAGGATTATTTTTATTGATTAGAGCGTGCTCTTTAAAGCTTAAGTCTAGTTTACTTGAGCATTTATAATATAATTAAATCGATGTAAAAATGCATACACTGTACGTGTCTCCATTGTCTACTACGATGTTTTACTAATATCATTTCAGTTGACACGAAAGTGGTACCCTTCCAAGGACTTACCTACAACTTCACTCATATACAAGTGGGGAGTAAGACGGTAAATTTCCCTGTGTTATACCCCAATACTTCCTACATCATAACTACCCAGTACACAGCGAGCAAGGTCAGCTTAATTCTCAACTTTTATAAGTATTTCAGGGGGGAAGCCAAGGCGAATTTTGGCAAATTTTGGTGAATGCCTTAATGGATTTTGGAAATCGCCATAATTAATTGATACATAATTTGCCAAAATTCATTGATTTATCCGGCTGTGTGAGCTGTATTTAATTTTTTTGTGCATCTGAAATTAATTAACAATAATCATGATATTTCTTTGTAAGTTATTCGTTTACCCACAAAAACAGCTGAGAGATACAGAATATTATTTTTTTGGGATAACATTAGTGCTGTGCTTCAGTGCATAATAGTAGTAACTATTAACTACTAAGCTTGAAGAGAACCTCTGCGTCTAACCTCACACTCTAGCTTCACCGTCCAACCTCTAGCGTCACCCCGCCCCCTCTAACCTCACCCTTTAGGCTTTATCCTAGAACTCTCTAACCTCATCCTCTAATCTCACATACCTTCAGACGACCCCTACAATTAGAGTACGAGTAGGACTGGTTGGTAAATCCCACAAACCTGTCCTGGTCAACATTCAGCAGAGCACGGAGAGTGTAGGATTTGAACTACCGATGAAAGTTGTCGGCAAGGGATCCAAGGAGCTAGCGTAAGTGTTTTATTGTAACGTTGTCAGATGTAATTAGGGTCGGTAATTTCTGGAGATAAGACCGTGTGATTATTTCTATAGAGTTATTTTGTTGCAGCAAATAAGGCCCTTATTATAATAAGGGAGCCGTTGAGTCTCAGGCGCCAATTTCACTTGTTGTTTTTATGTTACGTCATGATATTTAAGTTCCTCTGATTTAAGTTCCTCTGATTTAAGTTCCTCTGATTTAACTGTACTCAACCAAAACCTTCTGTTGAGATAACATTATTGGCTGGATCTAAGAACGTCACTGTGGTGTCACTGTAGTGCTAGTTCCTCAATTTCATCAATATACCATCACCTGACTATAAGATTGCTGTAACCTAAATACTGGTATACTAGAAGTAGTTATATTTACCAATCCGTTACTAGGTTTATCTAATAGTATTGCTTGCTGCCAGTGAACGAGTGCTAAAACTCGATAGTCTAAACTCATGACTTAGTTTAAATAACTCATGACTTAGTTTACCTTAAAATGAAACGGATATCCTGTTTACACAACCCAATGATTGAATGAATGACAGTTAAAGTCACGCTTTTCCTCATCATTTATTTAACAAGCTATTATTATCATAACAAATCTTGTATTTGTCAAGGTGTCAAGTGAAACAAATTTTGATGAAATTGACCATCATGAGGTTTATGGTAGTTTCAAAATTTATCATAACTCATAAGTGAACTTAGTAACATGGAAAAGTGGTTTATATTATGTTTCCAAAACTATTAGCTGTTATCAACTTAAGATAAATCTACTTCACTTATTCTGTGTTTATAAACACAGAATAAGCTATTATTATCATAACAAATCTTGTATTTGTCAAGGTGTCAAGTGAAACAAATTTTGATAAAATTGACCATCATGAGGTTTATGGTAGTTTCAAAATTTATCATTAGTGAACTTAGTAATGGAAAAGTGGTTTATTTTATGTTTCCAAAACTATTAGCTGTTATCAACTTAAAATAAATCTACTTCACTTATTGTGTGTTTATGTATTCAAGAACGTTAAAGAAAACAACTTCCAATGCCTTGCTGTTATATGATTGTTATGTAATATGTTTACATAGTTTGATTATTGTCAGATTAAGAAGTCCGCTGTCACAAATAATTGTTCAATATAAAGAGTATGTGTAACACCTGACATACCTAACATAACTAGGTTCCGTACAGACTCAACTCTGCACCCATGTCAATATGTTCATTATATGCAAGCCTCTTGATTTATACCTAGAACATACCCAACAGCCAACTTATGGATCTTGATGCAGAGGGCCGGTTAACCAAACAGCTTCCAGCATTGACCAATAAAAACACAAAATCACTTTTACACGTAAAAAGTCACTATTCCTCCCCCATACCTTTAACCGGTTTTATTTATTTGTTCCCACTTTGTTCGCACTCAAACTGGTCCGGAGATTAAAGTTGCACTGCTATCGTACAATAAAGTAAAGTGCTAACTTATTATATATAAATAGGCCTCTTTGTGTACAACACAGTACTATAAACCATTTATAATCGATCACTCTTAGTCCAAAATGCCCTCCACTGCCAGCTAAACCACGTGTCCTGCCTCCAGCTAGACCACGTGTCATACCTCCAGCTAAACCACGTGTCATACCTCCAGCTGAACCACGTGTCATACCTCCAGCTAAACCACGTGTCATACCTCCAGCTAAACCACGTGTCATACCTCCAGCTAAACCACGTGTCATACCTCCAGCTAAACCACGTGTCCTGCCTCCAGCTAAACCACGTGTCAGGTAAACCACGTGTCATACCTCCAGCTAAACCACGTGTCATACCTCCAGCTAAACCACGTGTCAGCTAAACCACGTGTCCTGCCTCCAGCTAAACCACGTGTCATACCTCCAGCTAAACCACGTGTCATACCTCCAGCTAAACCACGTGTCATACCTCCAGCTAAACCACGTGTCATACCTCCAGCTAAACCACGTGTCAGCTAAACCACGTGTCCTGCCTCCAGCTAAACCACGTGTCATACCTCCAGCTAAACCACGTGTCCTGCCTCCAGCTAAACCACGTGTCATACCTCCAGCTAAACCACGTGTCATGTCAGCTAAACCACGTGTCATACCTCCAGCTAAACCACGTGTCATACCTCCAGCTAAACCACGTGTCATGTCAGCTAAACCACGTGTCATACCTCCAGCTAAACCACGTGTCATTGGTCAGCTAAACCACGTGTCATACCTCCAGCTAAACCACGTGTCATTGGTCAGCTAAACCACGTGTCATACCTCCTATAAGGTGGTTGGTTGAGAGGTGTGCAGGTTCATCCAGGGTGGTGTTGTTTTCACTGTCATGGTAGAACTTCAGAACTTGGATCAGTTTGATATGGTGTACTCGGTTAATGTATTTAGTTCTGTGCTGGTTTCAGTTTACAAAATATACAAAGAATATAGATCTCAAAATGGCAAGTAGTTAAGATAACTTTGCAGTTGGCAAGCATGAATATTCTCGCATATTCTTTTGTTTGCATTCTCCATTGTCATGTACCCCAATACGGTGACTTACTTGTTAATAATGATATGCAATACTGGTAATGAGACTGCATGTTATAACAATCCACAGAACTAGGGCACAGCATAATAATTAGGGCACAGCATAATAATTAGGGCACAGCATAATAATTAGGGCACAGCATAATAACTAGGGCACAGGATAATAACTAGGGCACAGGATAATAATTAGGGCACAGCATAATAACTAGGGCACAGCATAATAACTAGGGCACAGGATAATAATTAGGGCACAGCATAATAATTAGGGCACAGCATAATAACTAGGGCACAGGATAATAATTAGGGCACAGCATAATAACTAGGGCACAGCATAATAACTAGGGCACAGGATAATAATTAGGGCACAGCATAATAATTAGGGCACAGCATAATAACTAGGGCACAGGATAATAACTAGGGCACAGGATAATAATTAGGGCACAGCATAATAACTAGGGCACAGCATAATAACTAGGGCACAGCATATTAACTAGGGCACAGCATAATAACTAGGGCACAGCATAATAACTAGGGCACAGCATAAGAAATCTTGGGAATTAACAGACGCTTTTGCCTTTCGTTTAAGAAGCAGTTAAACATTGAGATAATCTTCCTCTTAAAGCTGCTAAAATATTTGGAAAATACTTTGTTAGTTACCCCTAAAAGTTGATATAAAAAGAACTGCAAAATGTATCGCTTTAACTTCATAGCATAAGTCATGATGGTTGCTAACTGTAAGGTATTCCCCATAGAACATTAACGTGAGTAGCTACTTTCTTTGTGGTAATGTGCTAGAATGTCACAAAGCAGTTCCCGCTGTACTATAAATAGTCAACATACCTCAGATTTTCAAACCAAACTTTGAGACCCCCTCGTCCGGAGAATCACATGAGAACTTGTGACATGATAATAAAGTGTTAAAGGATACACATCACACACGCAGAAAGTGTTATAGGATACACATAACACACGCAGAAAGCAGTCCCTTAGATAAGACGATATTCGTTCTGGATTATTCTAGAACAATACAGGACAAATGAGTAAGACAGGTGTCTAGTTTTGGAAGATTTGTTATTGGTTAGGGTGTGTCAACTTACCAGAATACTGTTATGTGATAGGTTTGTGTGCCTGGAGCCTTTCAGTCGATGGTATGAACAGGTGTTGTGCATATTAAGTATAATGTATTTAGTCTGAGTCACGTATGTGTGGAACTTACTTCAAAAGTTTAAAATGTTATACTTTAACTTGCGACCGCTAGTGGAAATGTGTCTTATTGACAGTATTTAGCCCAAATAATGACACAAACTGAAATTTCTACATTAAAGATCGAAATTAAAGTGTCTCCATGTGTGTAAAATGTACGAGTATGAAAATCTGTGTCAAGGTAATTCAATAAGTTACGTCATATTTTATGTAACCGAGTTCTATCGTTTCTCCTTATCTAACTTAACCAAACCCTGAAGTCTCCTGTACAAAACTAAGAGTCTGTTCTGATAAGGGGTGTGAACATGTACTCATTATACATCAGGCTCAGCAATACAAGAGCTGAACTTTTCGCTTCTCGACTCTCTTACACTATGTTCTTAGTGTATACACATATTACATATATGTATATATATACTTATATTACACATAACTCATTCATGAGGTTTTACGGTCATCTTGAGCTACTGATCATATTTTCTACAGAATAGCAGATCGCACACAACTTAGTTATAGTTAGCACAACCAATCAATGTAAACTTGTTAACCTACTACCCTGTATTTGTTATTTAGTAGGGTGTTAAGTGAACAGTTGTTAATATTTCAATAAACTACCAATTCAAATCAAAAGTTAGCGATTTAACGTACAAATTCTGGTCTGGAGTATTTGGCCATTTTGTCACATAATTTATTATTTCCATCAATAATTATGCTCGCTTAACGTGAAAGTTTCGCTTGCAGTGTAGGGATGTGTATAAATTACGTATTTTCATTTTGCATAATAACCATGGATCTCAAACCGTACCCCGAATGGCTGGCAGAAAGGCTGTTTACGACGGCGCGCGCGACCGCCTCACCAAAATTTCGTGATGACGGACTGTCTTGTCAAGACTTTTGTTAAAAATTCCGTGATGAATGAGCTAGATTTTGTGCCGCTCGTGGTTTTCATGCCAAGTTTCACCTCTTGCCAAAACAACACGAACACTGACAGTCTATTTTACCATGCTGTCCTTTCAACCTCTAATCCTGTGCCAGAAATCTTGTTCGTTTGATTTGTGTTGCCTACAATATCGTCAGTTGATTTCTATGTATGAATTTTGTGCCAATATTGTTTTGATCTTCTTGTTCAGTCTTGATTTGTTCATCGATTGTTGTGACAAGTACAAAAGTTCATTAATGACCGAATACCAGCTGTCTTTAAAACCCATCCTGCATATTCCACAGGGTGAATTATTCCACAACTCTCCGCGAAATGTGCGTCACGAAGAACCTGACTAAGGAAGGGCATGAAGAGAGAGTCATTGTTACTCTGGTCTCACAAGAGCCTAAAATTCACATCCACAACGAGAACTTCTCCGATCCTGAGATCCAAATCAGCTTCCACGTGGCACAAGACGTTGAGCGACCACTGGATGAGCTTCACAAATCTAAAGCTAAACCCAATGAAGATCAGTGGTTTTTCTTCAACTGGGAGAACGTCTCCCCATCCGTCCACTTCTTGGTAGTCAACATAACATCAGAAACTGAACAATGTGCCACTGTTAAAATTCGTAACTCCAGCTGCTCACAATTCAAGGAGAACATCCAAGAACTAGACCACGGTAGATACCTGACAATGACTAAACGAGCAGCAGTGATAGTCCCTCGTGAACAATATCCAGAGATTTTTTACCTCTCTGTACTAGCAGAAACAGACGACACCCCCTGTGGGCTTCCGGGTAATGAAACAGGGAGACACCGGATCAAACAGTTTGAGTTCAACATACACAAGCATCACGAGTCTCCTGGCTTCCTGTTCCTGCCCCTGCTTGTCATACCAATATGTTCTGTGTTGTTCATACTAGGCTCCATTTATATCAAGTATAATGACCAACACAGGACTACCTCAACCTCCGATAGAAACCGAACGGACACTCTAGAATCTATGGGCTCAGCTTCACCAGCCGAGATCAACACAGAAAACGGACACCACGACTCAGAAGAGCTGATGCAATCAAGTGACTTCGACATCCCCCACACCCGTGTAGATTTCATACCCATCATACTAACCCTCATTGTCCTGCCTGTGTTTCTGGATATCTTATCTACCCGGCTGGAGCAGTACAACAAGTTTGGTCAGTTGGACACGTGCACGTTTAACATTGAGTGTAGTTTCCCTGTGGGTCCGTTCCCTGATATCGGGAGAGCTGCCACCTGCTCCGCCTATTTCTTCATGGGAGTGACCCTACTGCTACTTCTCTTCACCCACCACCGGAAACATCTCATGAAGAACAACCCTGATTTAATCACAGGTATCAGGCACGACTACGATATCTTCCAAGCGATCGCTTACAGTCTTATCTCTCAGGGCATCATCGGGTTCATCTACCACATCTGTCCGAACGAGAATGTAGAGTCCCTCGCGGACATGTTTGTCCTGATCGCCATTGCATATTCCTGCCAGAAGATCCACCAGAACCGCCACCCTGATGTCCGGCACAAGATCTTCCATCCCCTGTACGTGACTGTGTTCTGTATTGGACTACACGGTGTCCTCAATATGTTCGTCCACCGAGAGACCATGGCTACTTGGATCACATTTGGAAGTCTGTATCTGCTTCATATCATAGTGATCCCCCTGCAGTTTGTACTGCTGGACTGTCTGGAGATTGGTTTTCACCCCCTCCTCATCTACAACCGCCTCCCTCTCTTTAGCGTGAAGTACAACAAGGTGTGTTCTACTCAGAAGTTAATGGGAGTGGTAGGGATCCTCCTAAACCTGCTGGTCCTCATCCTCTCCGTCGTCCTCCAGCCTCCTAACTTCTCAATCTGTCTCCTCTCAGCCTTCTCTGTTAACCTCCTCCTCTACCTGATTTACTACGTTCTAATGAAGACCGTCCACTACAAGGAAAAGATAACACATTTGCATGTAGTGCTGTTAACCGGGGTTGTGTTAACCTGGGTTATTGCTCTTTACTACCTCGTGTGCCACACTAGTATTGCACCGGGCATTGCGCCTGCGCTCTCGCGGGAAAGTGCTAAACCGTGTGTTGTTTTGGAGATGTTCGACGGTCACGACGCGTGGCATTTCTTCAGCGCCGCCGCTTTGGTCCTCACCAACTTTCTGGTGATGATCGTGGATGATTGTCAGGCAAACACTCAGACCAGTCATATGCATGTTTTCTAGATTGTTCTGGAAATTTGGACTGATTTTAAATGGTAGGTGGTCGTGACAGAATTTATATTTTAATGAAAGCTTTTTTGATTAAACTAATTATTCAGTGCAGCTGCATAGGAGTTGGTCTTGTTCCTGATAGTTTTCCGTCGCTATCAAATATATGGAACTGGTCGTGCATGAATTATTATTTTTATCAGAGTGTTATGTAATTTTTTGATCAAATTGTTCGTACCAAATTTATCGTTTATTCATGATTTTAAAAATATTTTGTGTTTGTTTTTAAGAGACAATTTGTGTTATATTTGGTATTATTTGCTGTCTTAATCGGATGGTCGAATCTATGTTTTCAGATAAATTATTAATTGTAATTTAACTCTGTTTTACGTTTTGTTACAACTTTTATTTGACAATAAATTTATTCTTTCCTGTCTTTTCTTACTCCTGTTTTTATCTAAAATTTTGAGCCCTTTTTTATTTCCATGGAACGATTGTTATAGTATATAACAATAGTATATAACAATAGTCAATAGTATATACCTGATCATTTTATCAGGAAACATACTGTGCTATGACTAACCTAAGATTATATTAACTTTCCTACCTACAATATTATAAAATCAAATCAATCAGTTACCAGATGTGGATTTTGGTGGGGGTGTGAGGTAGTTCCCCGCCAGAATTAATTGACTATCACTTCATTAATTAACTAATAATCCCCAGACCGTTAAATGACCACACGGTTGAGTTATGTCCAGTCTCGATCAAAAAAGATAAAGATGGAAAGGAGATCAAGGTCATTGAAACGGTGCAGATCATCTTGACCGGAGGAGGAGCGCCGCTAACTCACAAAAGTAAAGAATTAAATAGACTTAATCGTTAATTTAAAGATTAATATAATTCAATCAGTTATAAATCAGTTCAGGAATTGATTAATTTGCTTTTATGGGGAGAGAAGATGAAAGATTTATGACATCTTTAATCATATTCATCAAATTGCACCATCTCACAATGTTCCTCCAAAACCTGTACAAGACAACTTCCACAGCTATAAGATGACTAATTTAGTAACTGGAGTAACGACTAATTACTAATTATTTACTAATTACTAATCAATTACAGATGCAGGGGGCCCGTACATACAAGTGCATCCCAGTGCCGTACAGCACATGGAGCTTACGCCAGGCAAACCCATGGGACCAACCAACGTGAGCATTCCTTACTTATATTCCTTACTTATATTCCTTACTTACATTCCTTACTTACATTCATTACATCATTGATCAGAATTGTGGAGAGGTGAAAGTTAAACTAAAATAAATTTGAAAGTGAAAGTGAAACATCCAACAGGTAGATGACAGAGAGTCGTTAGTCTACAGGTATACGTGTAACACTGTAACACTGTAACACTGTAACACAGTAACACTGTAACACTGTAACAGGTAGATGACAGAGAGTCGTTAGTTTACAGGTATACGTGTAACACTGTAACACTGTAACACTGTAACACTGTAACACTGTAACACTGTAACACTGTAACAGGTAGATGACAGAGAGTCGCTGGTCTACAGGTATACGTGGCCTGAGGATGACAGTATTGATAAAGTGGACATTCTTGTTACACACTTTGAGGGAGGTTTGTAACAAGAATTTGTTTGAATTATTACTGACCTGATAATTAATATCATCGGGCCTTAAAACGGTTGTTGAAATACCTTCAATTGTAGTTGCATAACGATGAACAATAAACAGCATATTATATATAGTTCTTTTATTCAAATTTCTGATTGTTTCTGAATAATTAATATCATCGGGCCTTAAAACGGTTGTTGAAATAATATTATTTGCATAACAGCAATATATTATTTGAACAGCATATATTAATACTATTATATAGGCGCTAAACAAGCCAACTTATATATAATACAACAATTAAATAATTAACTATTTGTAAATGAATGTATTACTAATTAGTTTATTCATAACAGATAAGGGGCACATCGAAGGAAAAGGAGCAGACGTTTGTGCTAAAATCTCCGTCAGAAGTGGAACTTGTCCGATAGAAGAGATGGGTATTCACGTTCTTACTTTCACCAGGTAATTAATCAATTAATTAATTAATCAATTAATTAATTAATCGATCGACAAAATGATTAATTGGAATTGATAAGTTTAATGGATCGTAAATTAATTGAAATCGATCGATATATTTAATTTCTTAGCTAAGTAGGGAACCGGAGATGAATTAATATTCCCATTTTATGGGAATATGGCTAATTTTTAATAGGAGCTTAACCGCTGGGATATCCGATAAATTTACAAATGACCGATTTAAAAAACATACACCTAAAAACCATGACCTATTCAGACAAGCGTTTATCACGGTATCAAAGCACGACGAGAGACTGAAGGATGTTAAGGATGGTTTCCTCGTTGTTATTGACGTCTACCCCGACGATTGGAAGTAAGTTATTACATTATATTATATAAACATTATGTATATATATATATATATATGTATTATGTACATATGCATAATATACATATATATACATTATGTATTGTAGAATATTGTTTCATTGGACAGCAGCTTCTGCTACATGGTGCACACTGCACAGTCTTCCTTGTTAGTTGTTACAATCCTGTCATAGTTAATTAATGACTGTTTAGCACTTAAATGTGTGCTATTTATTCCCTGATTTAACATAATGCAAAAAATTTCGTCCCTTCCATATAATATTAAAATAAACCTCTCATTCTCACTTGGAGTTACTACTATAGCTATACTTACATTTTACAACTACTTTCAAAGTTATACTTACAACACTTATACTTACAATTATACTTACAATTATACTTACAATTATACTTACAATTATACTTACAACTGCACTTACAACTATACTTACAACTATACTTACAACAACTATACTTACAATTATACTTACAACTATACTTACAACTATACTTACAACTATACTTACAACTATACTTACAACTATATTTACAACAGCTATATACTTACAACTATACTTACAACTATACTTACAACACTTATACTTACAATTATACTTACAACTATACTTACGACTATACTTACAACTATATTTACAACAGCTATATACTTACAACTATACTTACAACTATACTTACAACACTTATACTTACAATTGTACTTACAATTATACTTACAACTATACTTACAACTATACTTTCAACTATACTTACAACTATACTTACAACTATACTTACAACTATACTTAAAACTATACTTATTACAGGTGCACATCAGATATGGACCATCCCGTTAATAACGGCAGAACTAAGTCTGTACAGGTAAAATACTGTTCTGAAAATAGACTCCTGTCTTTATACACTAGTGATAATAGTGATAATAGTGATAATAGTGATAATAGTGATAATAGTGATAATAGTGACACTAGTGACACTAGTGATAATAATGATAATAGTGATAATAGTGATAATAGTGATACTAGTGATACTAGTGATAATAGCGGGATTTATCATTTACCTCTCTTTTATCCTTCAATCACCACGACAAGCGTTTTGCACATTACCGTATATATAATGGTAGTGTTACATTACTTTTTATGGTGGTTTTAACACCCGATCTCCCACAGGTACAGCTGACGGAAAGCCCTGAAACTCTTACTGGTGTCTACCTGATATTCCCCATCATGACCTGTGTGTTCCTGGTTATACTTACTGGTCTTGTCTTATTCCTCTTCATCAGACCTTTGAGCAATGTGGTAAGTACTTATTGTTCTTTAAAAAATACATTGGTGTTTCGCTTTCGTGTATAATTTATACATTTATCATAGATCTCTTTATCATGAAATATAATTTAGATTTCTGAAATTCACAACATGGATGAAGTCGAGTTGGTAAGATACCAACTGGTAATGTCACGTGGTAATGTCACGTGGTAATGTCACGTGGTGTTAATGTTTATTCACCTGATCAGAAAGAGTTAACTCTCTTTTACACGTTCTAATCTTAGAAATGGATAATTTTCACGATTGCTCATTAATTGTTCTCTAATTGTCTGTTTATTTGTATAATTTTGAGAATATAGGGGTATCAACGGATTCTTATCGTAGATGGAGCAATCAAAATATAGAGTTTCCTCTCCTGTCCGCTTTAAAAAGTATCTTTAAAATATGACATACCCTATTTACATATCATTCACTAACTTGAATACCGTGTCCTGATTGGTTAGTCTGTGTCACGTGCCGTGAATACTATGCTCTGATTGGTTAGTCTGTGTCACGTGCCGTGAATACTATGCTCTGATTGGTTAGTCGGTGTTACGTGCCGTGACTACTATGCTCTGATTGGTTAGTCTGTGTCACGTGCCGTGAATACTATGCTCTGATTAGTTAGTCTGTGTCACGTGCCTTGAATACTATGCTCTGATTAGTTAGTCTGTGTCACGTGCCGTGAATACTATGCTCTGATTGGTTAGTCTGTGTCACGTGCCGTGAATACTATGCTCTGATTGGTTAGTCTGTGTCACGTGCCGTGAATACTGTGTCCTGATTAGTTAGTCTGTGTCACGTGCCGTGAATACTATGCTCTGATTGGTTAGTCTGTGTCACGTGCCGTGAACACTATGCTCTGATTGGTTAGTCTGTGTCACGTGCCGTGAATACTATGCTCTGATTGGTTAGTCTGTGTCACTTGCCGTAAATACTATGCTCTGATTGGTTAGTCTGTGTCACGTGCCGTGAACACTATATTCTGATTGGTTCGTCTGTGTCACGTGCCGTGGATACTTTGCTCTGATTGGTCTAACACTTGTTTTACCCTTCAGAAGACGCTGGTAGATGATGATGACGAGCTGGTTGACGCTGATGACACCAGAGCTCTGGTGGTGGCGGACGATCCTCCGCCCTTTGATAAACAAGAGGAGTACATGCCTAAGAAGGTCAATTATACATCAATTATTGTTAATTATTATTTAATTAGCAATTTAAAGTATTTAGATAACACTTGATCTGGGAGGTATTGTAAATATTTCCTTGTGTTTGACCTTGTCCCTACAGGTTGATCTGGAAGAGGTTGAGTTTGGGGTGCCAGAGGAGGATTCGGAAGCTAACAGTGATCAAGAACCCGGTCCTAGTGCTCAGGATTCCGGTAAAATATTTACACACATTTTATAATGTTACTCAAACTATTTACTCAGGGTGTCCAGAGACATGAGATTTTATAGATTTCATAGATTTTGGGACGGATTTTTGATATTTTTCATAGAAATATCAGGTATTTTTAAAAAGAAATGAAAAACGATTAGAATAGACGAAAAAAGGATTAAAACAACTGAATTTTCGCCTGTGGTCATGGTACTGGCAAAAAATAAATTCCTTTTTTTCCAAAATCGGCTCCTGCGCCGGCAAAAATAGAGTTAATTTTATTGAATACTGGTGGGGAGGCGAGCCATATTTGTTTGACATGTGACAATGATTATGGGATCTGAATGATCGGTGGACGGTCATGTCTGAAGCTGATTTGTGCATGGCTGTCGCGTGTCAAAACAAATATTCAAAACATCAGAGTATAAATAAATTGAGTGGATTGCATATCTTTGAACAACTTTCAGAAATAATAGAACAAAACAGTGTCAAAAATAAATAACTTTCAACGAGACTAGGGATACCGAATCATTTCGGTAATATTCAACGTTGCCATAGCAACCATTGAGATATAGCCCTACTCTCTAATTTACGAAACTCGCCGCTATCTGATCGGGTATTATAGGAGCATCCAGCATCACATATTCTGGAAGTTGTAGTCCCAAAAACAAACGCCTGATAACAGCAGTTCCGTTTACCGTACGATCAGCTCGCTATCTTGCATTATCTTATGTTTACCTGTCGCTGTAGTTGTGATACGCTACTGCTTGAGTACGTTTGACCCCCACGTGACAGCTCTGCTTTGTCATAGGAGTGTTAGTAGCACATTATCAGTAATCGCAGTGACTTTCAAATTTGTTCGTTGCCCTAATCTCCTCTGCTGCTAAATGATTTGCTTCTTTCACTTGCTGGAAATTATATCATACGTCAGTCAATAGTTTTGTATTTCTGTTGGTATTTTTAGTTGCAAGTAGAAGGTTGAATTGTTTTACTTCTCAGAGCGAACTCTCAGTCTGAGATGGCCGCTGAGTTAACGTATTGAATATCACTGTGCTTATTGATATCTTCCTGATAGTGCTGATGGTGCTGAAACTGCGGAGGAATTTCTTTATCCATGTTCTCATGTCCTTCATCCTCCACAGATACAGGAGTGGGTTCAGAGCTGCATTTAGAACAGTGCAGAAGATATCGCTGATCACCCAGCTGTAAAAGAACATGAATTTGTTGTTGTAGATCACACTGTGGGGAATATTTCCATACCAGGTAAAAGTGTAAATGACAACGTTCAAAAAGGTAAGGGAATTACAGATGAGGAAAGTCACTGAAAAGTAAATGATCGTTAGTGATGCCTGCCGATTTCTTCTTTGGGAAGCATCTGGTAAATTATGAGTGTGCAGCCTTGCTGTAGAAACCACCACTGAAAGAAGAACGATGGCGGGAGGGATTCCAATGCAGATACAGTAGTTGATCATGAACATGGTACCGAATATCCACAGCTGTGAGGTAACGAAGCAGTATCCTAAACCATAGGAATAGGAATCATCATGGATAACCATGTCGATTACGTTCCATGTACAATGATACAGGAACATCACCATGATCGAGATAAGGACAGGCTGTTTCTTGATCTTGTAAAATGGAAAGATGATGACGATAGTTCTGGCCAGGGTCATTACCATCACCAAGTAGATGGACATCGGCTGAAGCAAGAAGAGACAGAAACTCCACATCAAACAGAAAACTCTGTTGGCTAGAAGCCCAGGATGTCTGCTGTTCAACCAATTAAATAATTAACTAATTAAGTGATTAACTAATTACCAGGATGTCTGCTGTTCAACCAATTGACAGTAACTGGAACCCATATCCACAAAGTTGGCAAACCCACCAGATATCTGGGAGGAAATTTGGGAAGAATGAGGAAATTTTTGGCATCTGAGAGGAAATTTCTTGGTTAGCGACTGAAAATTGCAGTCCGCAAAGAGCAGTTCAATCATTGGGTATCGAGAGGAAATTTTTCCTCTCTAAATGACTTAAAATTCGTGCCACCTTTAATTTTAATTTGTCCAATGTTTTGAATCCAAAATATTACCGAGTGTCTAATCAACTACTTTGAACCTTCTCTATTGCTATCCTATTGGTCTATCATATAATCCAGTTAAAAATTTTCCGGATGCTGCGCCCCCTGCCCTCTTAAAATATTACTAATAACCAAGTGTCTAATCAACTGTTTTGAACCTTCTGTATTGATATCCTATTGGTTTAGCATATAATCCAGTTAAAATTTTCCGGGGGCTGCGCCCCGAGCCCCTGCCGCAGTAGCCTCGGAGCCGGCGCTTCGCGCCGACTCCTCGCCCACCCCTTCTAAAAATCCTGCGCACGCCCCTGTTGGAAAAGTAACTTAGCCGCTGCGAGCGAAGCGAGCGGGCCACAGAAGGGTCTGAAAATGGGTTTGGGAGGAAATTTTTAATTATGTGGATATGGGAACTGGAATATGAATCATACTGGAGACTATATCTATACAGCAGGCAATCAAGTAGAGAAGGGTTGAGATATTACGTTTCCCTGTCTGAAGAAAGTACCTCAAAGCTAGACAATTGCCCGGAAGTCCTATCACCAGACATAAGAGGAGTCCTGCTGCTACCAAGCCATCGTAACCTGGTAACCTGGTAACCTGGTAACCTGGTAACCTGGTAACCTGTCATTAACCAAGTCCTATCACCAGACATAAGAGGAGTCCTGTTGCTACCAAGCCATCGTAACCTGGTAACCTGGTAACCTGGTAACCTGGTAACCTGGTAACCTGTCATTAACCAGGTCCTATCACCAGACATAAGAGGAGTCCTGTCGCTACCAAGCCATCGTAACCTGGTAACCTGGTAACCTGGTAACCTGGTAACCTGTCATTAACCAAGTCCTATCACCAGACATAAGAGGAGTCCTGTTGCTACCAAGCCATCGTAACCTGGTAACCTGGTAACCTGGTAACCTGGTAACCTGGTAACCTGTCATTAACCAGGTCCTATCACCAGACATAAGAGGAGTCCTGCTGCTACCAAGCCACCGTAACCTGGTAACCTGGTAACCTGGTAACCTGGTAACCTGGTAACCTGTCATTAACCAAGTCCTATCACCATGCATAAGAGGAGTCCTATTGCTACCAAGCCATCGTATATTCTGTATTCAGTTAGTTGTAGAAGACCAACATCTGGCGAAGTAATAGTTGGAGGATGTTTTGTCGTATTCATAAAGCGATGGAGTTTTGGTAAAATCTCATGATTTTTAGGGTTTGAACTGGCTACGTTTACATAGTTTCCTTCAAACAACAAATTATAAGTTAAAAGTATAAATGTTATGTCATACAAAAATCGACCCTGCTAAAGCACTGATGGAAAAACAAGAACCAAGGAATTTAAAGACGTTTACAGCAATTTTGTAAAAATTGAACCAAGACAAAGAACCAATAATCAATGGGGGCGGGGGGGGTAATGTCTGTTGGTTGCTTTTGCTCCCGTGGCTGGGGTTGTTTGTTCATCAGATACGACATATTTCTTGCTAATTGGCACTTTTCTTCACCTTCTTGATGCTTAAAGTTAAACTGATGCAATGGGCATTGGGCCATTATCAATCAAGTTGACAGCTATTAGTATTTACATAATGAAAATGAACAACAAGAAACCCAATGCGAGTGAATGGCCGTTTGTTTCTGGTGCTTCTCATTCATGGGTTACAACCCACCCTTGGTTAAGCAGATGATCTGGAAAGTGCGCTTATAGCAAACAGTATGATTTAATCAAAATGCACACCAAGGGTAACCGTAAATAATTTGCTGAATAGTTGAGCTAGCAAAAAAATTCTCAACCGTTTAAAAGTAATTTCGAATTAAGACCACAGCATTAGCCTAGTGCTTTGAACAGAAGTTTTTTGAGGCTGTTATTAGACAATGAAATATATAACTTTCCTGCATTTAGGTCATTATAATTCTGAATTTTTTGCATTATAGAACAATTTGCCGTTTTAACAGAGATTTAGGAGTTCAAGGTCGTTGGTTTTCATCGAAGAAAATGGATCAAACAAGTTTGAAAATATGCAGCCGTAGCGCCCGTAGGTGTTCAATAAATATGGGACGATGCTTTATATTACTTACTTACTGACTAGTAACTACTAGAAAGCCCGTGATCACAGGGAGGATTTTGATTATATTTTTGGAGAATATTCTCGTAAAAACGCTCAGACTGCGAGCCTCGAGCAGAATATTAAACCTAATTTCGAATTAAGACCACAGCATTAGCCTAGTACTTTGAACAGAAGCTTTTTTTGCGGCTGTTATTAGACAATGAAATATATAATTTTCCCGCATTTAAGTCATTATATTTCTGAATTTTCTGCATTATAGAACAATTTGCCGTTTTCATTTTCAAAATCATCTGGACACCCAGGAATATAAAATGTTTAAAATGATTCCAATAAAGGTTCCTTCTCAGATGAACTACTGAACCACTTGTTCAACCTGGGAGCAAGCGCTGGACCAAATGTTGCTGGGGACGGAGTCCTGAACTTCAAGGGAATCTGGAACAAAGTGAAGAGAAACGAGTTGGTGGTGAACATAACTCAGACTATTGGACATTGTTCTGTTCCTCTCCTGGTCTTTTTGAACAGCTTTGATTCTACTTTTATTGATATTACTGGTAAGTGGATAGTATTGTGAGCACTTTTCATTATTCAAAATAAGTCTAATTGCGATGAAGAGGGAGGAACTAATTAATTTGAGTTTCGGACAGCTGAGTGTTCCAATTAATCAAACAGTAACGAATAGTTCGAGGAAGTAAAGTTGTTATTTTAACATATCTTTAAATTAATTTATCTACTTCTTATGTGCGTCTTATTTCAGGTAATCTGAAGGAGCACACCGAGAACGGAGACCTTGACGCGTGTTACGTTAACAGTAGATGTGCTTACGCTGGAAAAATTTCTGGTACTCTTTAATTAATTAATTAATCAATTTGGTAGACAGTATAAATGGGATGGGGGGACAGGGGGACCCATGCACAGGGTTCCAAGGTACGGATTTTTGGAGGGGGTGCGAACTTAAGCTTTATTTATTCCACGAGAGTCTGCTTACAATCAAGTAATTAGTTGTGACTAAGTTGACTAAGTCACGTGTTGTAACCCGGACACATTCCTACAGGTTACAACATTCCAGGACGTATCACGTGTCTACTCCAACCTGCCCTATGTGGTGTCCGGAGTGTGTTTCTGGTTCCTAGCTGTTCAGAAGAGTAAAGTTATGGAGCAGATCAACAGGATAGGGAAGGGTGTGAAACATGATTTTGCTATTTTCAACGCTCTGGCTTTTATAACTGGTAAGAGACTTTGCTATTTTCAACATGATACTGGTAACATTTGGTACATACCTAGCCTAAATTACTTACTTTATGTTTAAATTTATGCTATTAATTTATGTTACTTTATGTTACTTTAAATTGTGTAGTAAACTAACAATTGTGGTTATCTGAGTTAAGACAGGTTAAGAAAACCTCTTTATACCTGAAATGTAACTTTAGTATGTCTCCTGTCTAAGATTGTAACCGAGTTAGAATTTTGGTTACTTAGTAACTCAGTAGTCAGTAACTTAATATCCTGGTAACTTAGTAACCTGGTAACTTAGTAACCTGGTAACTTAGTAACATGGTAACTTAATAACCTGGTAACTTAGTAACCTGGTAACTTAATAACCTGGTAACTTAGTAACCTGGTAACTTAATAACCTGGTAACTTAGTAACCTGGTAACTTCTCGGAAGCGCACTCTTAGCTGCTTACAATATCCAACTTAACGTCTGTTATTTCAGCGATAATTGGAATAGCATCAGCGATGTACCACGTTTGCCCCAACCAAACCACCTCCCGTATCGATATGTACTTTATCGAGATCCTGCTAGGTTACTACTCTCTGAAATTGTACCAATCCAGGGTTCCTGATATCAGGGCTGTCTACTACGCTCCCGGTTAGTTCATCTGTTAATTACTTAATTAATTAATGAACTCTTAATTATTTTACCAAAATTTCTGTTGAATCGACCGTGAAAGAATCGCTCCTAACATAACTAATATTTAATTTTAATTTCCCTTATTTCAGCTATAATTGTATGTGTTTTAAGTGCTGTGGAGCGGGTACTAGGTGGATCACAACTCTCCTGGAATCTGCTCGCTGGTTTCCATCTTTCCTTTACTCTCTGGGTCTCCATCCAGCTGTTCTTCCTAGGAAAATGTGCGATGAACCCTTGGACTATGTACAAAGAGTGGAGTTCGTAAGTGATCGGTTTTTATTTGAAATTGTTTTACGTATGAATATCATAGTGCCGTGGAGCGTCGTTGAACCGATTGCAGTTTAAATGTCGTAGATATCGAGAGTGATGTATTAAGCTTACAAATATTTGTATCTACACAATACAATTCTCGTAGAGTGTCCAACAAGATCAAGGAAGCTAAAGGTAAACCAGAGTTCAAGTTCCAAGCTGGCTTCTTCGGTGTTGGAATCCTTGCAACCTCAATCATCGCCGGCTCTGGTTTGTTTTTATTCAATCATTGGGTACTTTTACTTGAACAATCAACGTAAATACGGAACATTTTCGCAAAGAAATGAGAGGATCAATTAGTAAATTAGTTGATATCTCGATTTGGTAACGGATTTTGTTCCGCAGCGATTGGAGGGTACTGGACAGAACAAACAATGTACAACGTGGTGGCCCTGTCTACCGACATCGTGATATACATCATGTACTACGTGGTTACAAAGTGTGTGTTGAGAAAGGAGAAGGTGAATTGAAAACACGTGACATTACAAACACGTGACATTACAAACACGTGACAATCAAAACACGTGACATTACAAACACGTGACATTACAAACACGTGGCATTACAAACGCGTGACATTACAAACACGTGGCATTACAAACACGTGACATTACAAACACGTGACATTACAAACACGTGACATTACAAACACGTGACATTACAAACACGTGACAGGATCTGTTAGCACACAGAACTGTTAGTTTTCGCGAAGCAGGTCTGACTTTCATATATATTCTTATAGTAGACTTCATCATATAAATTTATTTTGAACTTAGTAACAATTTCAGGGAATAAATAGAAATTTAAGATTTCATTTCTATTCTAATATTCACGTATATTAAATACAATTATATTGTTATGTATCATATGATTTTGTAAACATTGGCCGGTGTACCAAAAACCGGTCCCCAAACAAACACATTACAAACACGTGACACCGCTTTCTATTACAGCTACGTCACGTGATAAATCATGATGACATCGCCGTGTTTTGAGGACATTTTTATAAAATGGGGTCCAAAATTTGTTCTTTTATACCACTTTGTTGTTGCAGGTGCCTTATTCCATAGTCATGATTCAACCTATAAATTGATACGACATTTAATTAATAAAATGAAAAACGTCACATTTAATTATAAAGTTGATCACGTCACATTTAATTATAAAGTTAATCACGTGACAATTAATTATAAAGTTGATCACGTGACCGACAATTCTCCCACAGCTGAGAACCCATGTTGTTGTAATAATTGCTGCGAGCTTCTTTACCTGGGCCGTATCCTTTATTTTCTTCTTCTTCTACAAGAATATCAACACTTCCGTTAGCCCTGCAGGTTTGCTGTTTCTTCAACACAATGAAGTGTTATTTATATTTATTGTACAAAGATAAGGTTGACTTATTAGATCACGCTTTCGTCTACTTCCAATATAATACATCAAAGTCAAAGTATCTCAATAATCACTATTCAACAATCCTCATTTTAACTCTGAGGAAAAACCTCACTAGTCACGTAAACCCCTTCTTATGTTCAGAATCCCGATGTTTGAACCGCGCCTGTTTGGGCGGTTTTATTGACGGTCACGACTTGTGGCACTGTCTGTCCGCCACAGCCATCTTCCTGACCAACGTAATGATCTTACTGATGGACGATGACTTGTTGGATATGAAGACTGAGGACACTTACTTCTAGGATGTTCTAGATGCGTAGAATGTTCTAGAACCTGGAAGTTTCCAGGATTGTTCAGACTGTTATACCCAGTGATTGATAACAGTAAGATAAACTCTTTCATAATAATATGATGTTCCCTTGTCCAAGATAATCACAGTTCCTACTTGGGTTATTTCTCGAGTCTTATCTTGTTGTTGTAAGTCACACTGCGCTGGTTTCAGTCAAATGTGGCTGTTTCTGCTCTTGGCAACAGGGTATACATAGTGGGTATGATTACTGTCGCTGTTTCTCTGCGGTACAGTCAATTTTGGCCCATCTATATATTATATATTATACGTTTATCATTGCGTGTGATATTATATACTGGCGAATTACAATTTGTGATTACTGTTACAACTTTCCGTATGGAACGAATTTTATATTATTTCAAACTTTAAATCATCAAGCAGTTGGAATACAAAATTGCTTGTCTGGTTAATTATTTAATTAATTACTTCCCCTTATGTTAATGGGTGACGTTCGTATTTTTTTCACGTCAAACGAAGATAAGGGATTTAAATGAAGTTTGGTTGTGGTAAACATGGTCCTTGCTGATTGGCTAGCTTGTGTCACATTTGCGCTGCTTTTCTCTTCGCGTGCCCATGTTTGTCAGAGCGAGACTGCGAACTGTGGAGTATTTGATTTAACTTTTTGCAGAGACTGCGAATAATGTTTGAACCATGGACAAATTTTTGACGTTAAAAATTTCTTCATTTTTAGATTTGATTGTTCATTATATATTTTTTCTTGATATGCCAGTGAATTATTCATAATGAAAACTAAATTGGTATTGAAAGATTTTGAAAAACGTATCGAAAATTATCATTGTAAAATTAACGGAATCAATTTGATTTTTGTCTTTTAACCAATCATAGGTTCATACCGTTCACGTGCAGTAGCTTTCATTACACACAAGTGCTTCACATTTTTTTCCTGTTATTTGCTATCTTTTAATCATGATTAGATTGATTTTAGATGAGTATAAGATATGTCTTCGCTTAAAATCTCCTGATCCTGGTTTGGGTTTAATTATATTGCACGATAAACATTTTTAACCGCTACAAGTGTGCGATCGAAATCCTGAGGAAATATAATGGCAAACATTGTTTTCACAGATCGGGTATCCTGGACTGATTCGAATAAATCTTGAAGTTGACCCCAGCCACGATCTCAGTTAGGGGTCGTTCGCATTTTACCTAATCACTTTTTCGAACATTTTTACCCCCGCCCGTAATCAGTTTTACACATGGCTATTGTGTCAAAATGACACTAACGTAATTATTTGGAACCCCCCCCCCCCCCCCCCCCCCCCCCCCCCCCCCCTCGACTGATTACGTAATATGTGAACGACCCATTATTCGTTCCTACAGTTAATAAATATAATATGGTAGCTGAAAATATTTAACAATACGTCTTTTTAGTAGACCTAAAAATCTTAAAATGACAAAAATAGTATCAAATATGAGTATGTACAGTCAGTAATTTGACAAAGCTAAAGGATTGCTTCGGGTCATGGCTTGTCGTGTTCAAGGCCAATTTCTCCAATACGAGACTGATCGAAGTGGCTTCTTCTAGTCAAACGAAGCAATCCTTATTTTAACTTTTGTTTTCCGTTCGCTAAACAGTTACATCGTCCCTTATTGTATAAGTATAAAAATCTTGATCTTGGCTCTAATAGAAATGTAATTGTAACCGTTTAGTGTTTGGACTGTTGCGTTGTATGTTCACATTTGAGTCAATAAAACTTTTAGATATGAAGAAATGAATATTATTTTTCCGGTGAAGTCCAAACTATTTACACTAAAACAGAGCATGATAGTATAAGTAACGATGAACACAGGATGATGATCAATGGGACAATCAGATAATGGTCTAATCATGTTCATACGACTTTAATATTAACCTGGCTTGACAGTCGTCCAAATTTCTTGAAAGTAACGAGCGCAGCTTTCTTAATCGTCGATCAACAACCTATTCTTAATGCATATAAAATAATGATCATTTCACTTTCCTGATTTTGCATATACTTTTCTTATTCGTCATTCGTAGCGGAATGCATTATTAATATCAAATATAGGGCCGCGCGCGCTGCGCATCAAATAATGTTTCTGAGCGTGCTAAAAGTAAATCACTACAGTCGATCTTCAACATTTTTTCTTTAGTTAGCGCTTGCTGGAAGTGGAAGTAAAATTTGTTTTACCTTTTTAGAATGATCCGTGAGTTTCGCCTAGGTGCCATATTTGATGGTGCGCGGCTTTTGCAAGCTAAAGTAGGTGTAAATGGTAAAAGTCGCGTGATTTGACGAAATTCGTTGATTTTTGTCGTATTATTTTGTTATATCTTAGCATTGATTGACGATGTTAATCCGTCGAGATCGTTGCTCTGCGAAGCAGAGCAACGATCGACTTCGATGCGATGCTAGTTCGCGTCGAAGCGGCGAAGTCCTCCAAATCTTAGCACTTTGGTTCCTTAAATGAGATCATTCTGAAAATTTTTGAAGACCTTCCAATCATACTAAACTACCCAACCTAAATTAGTTGGGATCGGAGAGATAGGTCTTGATTGACAAAATATGAAATAGGTATATTTATAAATTCGTTGTAGGTTTACAACCTACCAGGACGCGCGCCGAGTTTGGAGTTGGACTCGTCGACGGTCCAACTCGGCGCAACAATATTTGAAACAAATATTTTACGAGTATCACCCGTTAATAAATTCGTTGATAACTCAAAATCTGACCATCAAATTGTTCAAACTAATTTAGTATAGTTCAGTAAAATATAAGTTGTAAGTGAGAAAATCTGGGAAGTATTATACATTTTTGAAATTGTTTCCGAAATAATGTGGCCGAAATACGAGTTTAAAAACAATTTAATCATCAATGGTCAGCGCGCGTCTTACGGTCGATGGCGCACGGCCTACTGCCAGCTAGTAGTACTGAGTACACTTACTAGTAGAGGCTCTACTACTATACATGTTACAGGAAGTTGTAGCGCTATGCACTACCAACTACTGGGCCGCGCCGCGCATCTTCTCGCAACCGTATGCAGATCCAAAATCGGCGAGATGCGAAGGATTTTGACGGATGTTACTCGTCTAAATTTCTTCGAAGTAGCGCGCGCCGCTTTCTTTTCGAAATGTTAAATGGAACGAGCTACGAAGTACTAGTAGCGCGCGCCGGGCCAGATCCAGATCATTAACAATAGGAGGTGCACCATAAAAATAAACTTGCTCGGATTTTAAAAATTTGTGTACCATTGTTTTCTAGAGACTGTGAGAATTTCGACAATACCAAATTTGTTATACCTTTTTGGAAAGATCAGTGAGTTTTGCCTAGGTGCCATATTTGATGGTGCGCGGCTTTTGGAGCAAAATTAGCTGTAAAAGTCGCGTAATTTGACCAAATTTGACCAAATTCGTTGATTTTTGTCGTATTATTTGGATATATCTTCAGTTCCTTGAATGAGATCATTCTGAAAATTGGTGACGATCTTCCAATAGGGCTTTTACAACTGTCCGAAAAATTTGGTGGATATCAGAGTCTAGTTGATATAGTGATCAAAATGGGGCAAAATACGCTGCTTTTAGCTGTAACATAATGATTGATGGTTGGATATGCTTTAAACTTTTCGGACACATTTCTTGTAAGTCTATGAGTAAGCTTACCAATTTTTGTTGCAATCGGAGGTCGGGAAGAATACTTAATATTTATTTGTTTGAAGAAAATTGTGCTGGCCGAAATTAGCGCTAAAAAACCATCCCACAGTCGGCACGCGCGGCTCACTGTCGATGGCGCACTACCTATTAACAATGGTCAAGAAGGATTGATATCGTGAATCAATACTGGAAGTGGAATGCTCACCGGTACGTCTTGCGTTTTTACATTAAATTTTGCTACTTGTCACGAAGTATAATTATATCAATCATATGTTGTGTTTGACCATTGTTAATCATAATGATCTGGCCCGGGCACGAGAAGAAAGCGGTGCGCGCTACTTCGAAGAAATTTAGACGAGTAACATCCGTTAAATGTTGTGTGTGTGTGTGTGTGTGTGTGTGTGTGTGTGTGTGTGTGTGTGTGTGTGTGTGTGTGTGTGTGTGTGTGTGTGTGTGTGTTGTCATACGTTGTATGACCCGCCGCGCACGAAGTGCGCGGCTCCCCCTGTAGCGTCGAAGACGCTACAGTGAACACTATAGTGAACACTATAGTGAACACTATAGTGAACACTATAGTGAACACTATAGTGAAACGACCGTGGGGGTCACCACGTGATACAATGTGTGTGTGTGTTGTAAGTACAAAGTGTATTTTAGTTTGTAGGTTTATAACCTACCAAATTTTTAAAAAATCCTGTGAAAAGGCCCTGGTCTTAGTCGTAGTACAACTACAAGTACAGTAGTATTTACATTAGTAGAGGCTCTTACGGGCATTGTCTGCATGATACGCTAGGGACCCCAGATACACTAAACGTATTTTTGATCGATATTTTTGAATCGATTAAAAGTGGTTTCAAGATGATTGGACTGAGTTAGTGCGGTCGAAATCGCAAAAAACCGATTTTTGGGCCAAAAAAAGGCCAAAAAACCATGTTTTTTTGGATATTTTGAGCAAGTTAATTTTGTTGGCATGTCAGCAAAATTTGCACAAAGATAGCTAAAAGACAGCCGCACAAGATGGTATAAAAATAAAACAAATCCCTCTATTTTAGCGCAGGTAAAAATCCAAAAAAGTGGTAAAAATTTTGACTTTTTTGCTTGAAGTTTGAATAATTTTTTGCAGTTGTATTACATCAACCCAAAAATAGTCACATCGTGTTTGCCTAAATTTTTCCTTTCTGAGAAGTACCCACTTCATATACTTTATCGAAGTTTGAATATTGTCACCCCGCAAGCGTTTTTGCCAAATTTTAGACGCGCACTACGCGCAAAAGCATTTAGTTGTTATCAATTGGCACCCGCGCGTTCATCATAAATTTCAAACAGCTATAACTCAGCGAGATTATGTCCGTTCTAGCTCATATTTTCATACCAAATAGAAAATAATGTGATCTTATTGCTGACAAAATATGAATATGATTACTCTATTTGCCTTAGAGTAATAGACTGTCAAAGTTTAAAACGCGCATTGGTATAGCACGTGACTAATAAAGCCAAATTTATATTTCTTAACATATTATCGATCCTTAGACATCATACTATTGTGTCTAATTAGCGGTTAGGTCTCTAAACTCGTAGCAGAATACACGTATTTTTGCCCGTAAGAGCCTCTACTACATGTTACATTGCGATGAAAACGCTGATTCTGAATCTGAGCGTGCTAAATCAAGCTCTACTATTTACATAACAGTCGATCTTTACCTGGGGACCTAAGGCTATCATGTTCATATACATAAACAATAAAGATATTAGAGATTAGGCGGAATGACAAGCTGATCGCTGCCCAGTAAAGTCGCGTCGATCTTCGAGATTTTTTTAAATGGACCCACGGCATGCATATGGTTGAAACCAACTTTGAACTTGAATCAATGTATTTTTGGAAGCTGATTCGATTCCGAATCACCGGCCCATGACGCGTAGGGTTAAAAATAAAATACTCCCCTGGCCAGATATTGGCGAAAAACTGTCTTGATTACGTGATTACGGCTTACGAATTGTAATAATGAATAAAGCTTGTTGAATGGGAAAAGCGAGCGACCGATTTCATTCTCGGTATCAATTTGCATTTGCGGACGGTTATTCAAATGAGTATCTTTTCCTTTTGTTTGGAAAAGAGAGACACTGGCAGCGGTTCACTCTACCCATGATTATGGGTTCACCTAACCATGTGCTTTCGCGCCACTTCGGGCGCGCTTGTTTCACGTTAGGCGGGCGCGCGCTACTGCAAGCGCAAGGGCTCTGGATAGAGCAAATTATGGGTTTTGGTCAAATTATGCATAATGACTTGCAAAATGCAGCGATTTCATTGGACGAGAGCAACTGTATCATGAGGTTAATTGCTTTTGCATTTTGGCGAAGTTTGACTATAAATGGCAGCGTTTGATCGAAAACCTGGTTTCAGACCCCCCTGTGACTTAACTACCGAACCTAAATTAGTTGGGAGAGATTTGCTTTGATTAAATGCCCAAATGCTAAATTACAAATGCATGGCCGGGTATGTGAGATGCTGCCTTACATGTACAGTTACCCCTAGGTTGCTGATCTATGGTTCGCGAGATAGAAGTGAAACGAATGCGTGCAGAGGGAAGACCGAGGAGCCTGCTTTCATGAAGATGTCATTTTTTGGAATTAGCCAAACTATAAAACTCATGAATATAAAACTCAATATTTCAATAAATGGTATGGTATTGTTTTTAATTCTATCCTACATATTAACGTATAAAACATAAAAAGCTCAGTAGTACTAGTATTATGGCTATAAATTATATTACCTGGGGAACCCAGGCTATTAATATTATGTTCATAAACATAATAACCGAATAGAGATTCGGCGGAATAACAGGCTGAGCGCCGCCCAGTAAGACTATAAATTATAATACTCCGTTTGAAAATAGTGGACCTGCACTGATTCAGAGTTTCCCCAAGTCACTAATGAATTTATTAAGTAACCAGCTGGTAAATTGACAACATTTCGAAATTCAGAATCCTTTACTCCTTTGTTTTAAATTTGTACTCGCGGTTTCCCCATCTGTGAAAACTTCGGCGTCATGAAAAATTACATTACAAATGTCAAGTTTGTGGCTAACTAAATTGCAAAAGCAATTAAATACCCTCCTTCTCAAATATTTTCATTGTTTTACAGGGAGAGTGATTTTTCGCTCTGTCACATCTGGTGGCAGCATTGTTCTGAAATTGTATAAAATAGAGCCATCACCACAGCATCCTCACTTTGAACAATCAACAATCAACATGAAGATCTTTCTAGTTATCTGCCTGGTGGCTGCCTCTCTCGCTGCTGAAGATGTCCTTCGTGGTATCCTCCGATCCCCCAAAATGACCCTCGAGCTCTACGGGGATTTCAAATCCCAGGAGCACCTCAAGTTCCTTGCATCTGAAGACCGAATGAGGTTCCGACTCTTCCGATCCAATGCTCAGCTGGTAGCTCAAGCTAACGAGGAGGGAGGTTCTGCTGTATTTGGCCTCAACTTCTTCTCTGCGCTGACTGAAGATGAGAAGCAACAGTACTTTTGGACTGAACGTTACTGGACATGATGAGAACCCTATGCACGTTGCCTCTTCTTTATCTAGTCCCCCCGAAAAGAAACTTTGGACCAATGACGGTAAGGTTACAGCAGTAAAGAACCAAGGAAGCTGTGGATCTTGCTGGACGTTTGGAGCAGTAGGAGGTTTGGAGACAAGGTATCACGAAGTGTCTGGTAAACTGAGGAACTTCGCAGAGCAGGAATACCTGGACTGTGTCTACGAGGGACAGAGGAATGGTTGCAACGGTGGATGGCCTGATAACTGTTACGACTACTCCAAGAAGAACGGTGGAAGGTTGGCTTCAACTGCTGACTACGGATACACTCAAAAGGATGGTAGTTGCAAAGGAAGTTCGAAACCTGACGCTATGGTGGCTGCTAAAATTGTCGGCTACACCAGGGTTAGCCCAACTGAGGCCGCAAACATTGAAGCCCTTACAACAGGCTCTTTGTCCGTCGCTTTCGAAGTGACAAGTTACTTCCAACAGTACCGAGAAGGCATCATCCAAGACACAACATGCACCGGGAGACCAAACCACGCCGTCACAGCTGTAGGATACACGCCGAAATTCGTCCTGGTAAAGAACTCTTGGGGATCAAAATGGGGAGAAAGCGGATTCGTGAAGTTCTCTCGAGGCTACCCCTCCAATTGCGGCCTCTTCAAGTACAGCAGCTACCCCAACCTTGATACAACCGGACAGTCTGACAACACTCCTTCTGATAAAGCCACCGACTACAAACCTTCTGAAAACGATGATGATAACCCAAACCCTAAACCTGACCCAAACTGCAAAGACGTGGCAACCAACTGTCAGCTCAATTGGTGCACCAGGCGGGAGAGTAACTGGGTCGCCATAGTTAAGAAGTACTGCCGGAAGACTTGTAAATTGTGTGGAGATGATGGAGATGATGGAGAGTGCCCCAGCGGCACCATTAGATGTTCTGATGGTGTGTGCCGACACGAACACATGTGCTAGATCTCAACCACTTCTTGATGTTTACAATTTCATTTGTATCATTTGACAAGTAACACTGCATTTAAACCTTGTTTTGTTTATAGCCTAGTAGGGAAAAATATGCACTGAAAAATTGGGTACCGAGCAGTGAGGCATCCAGTGTTCAAGACGCTTCCTTGAACAATATTTGGTCGTGTATGACATTAAATTTGTGTGCTTGTTTCGGTAACTAGTAGTGCCTAGGTACGTGGAGCCATACGAGGGATTGATATCGTCAGTCCATATCATGTGCGAATTTTTATATTTGAACTTATTATAAAAATAAAGTACAGTGTGGCCCATAAATAACTGTCCACACTCATTACGCAACCCTTTGATAACTCACGTAATTCATGTCAGAATTTTATGTAAGATTTTATCGATTACAGTAGGTGGGTGGCTGGTGGGCGGTGGCACGCACTCCCTGTTTTTCACAATGATTGTATTCGTCGTCATAAAATGAGAACGCTTTGAGCTAGGAACTCACATTTTTTATACACTTTTGGTTTGATAATTGAAAACTTTTCCCAAAATGTCAACTTGATTGTTTTAAATTTAACCGAGTTATGACTATTTTAAAATCTGGTGGATACGTACACGTGATCTCAGCACCTAATTATAATAATATATGTAATCAGTGATAATATAATATTGAATATATAATCAGTGATCTCGTCAGTTCGTCACTCAATCAGTAATCTCATCAGGAGCTAGTCGCTAGCGTGCAACGATAGGCCTCATTAGGCGGTACCAAACATGTTGGGGAAATGACGATCTAATAATTTCAAAACACCAAGTTTTAGGATGCTTAAAATCAAATAATCATACAGCACGACTTCATATCCAGCTTAGTATAGTCCCAGGACAATTGATTGTATTCTACGATCAGTTGAGTGTTGACGTATCCGTTGATGTGGCCAGTTAGCCTCGTACCGGCCAGATTTCGTCCTAAGAGTTAAAGGATGAGCATTTTGTTTGAAGATAAAGGTGTTTGTAATAGCGAATTAATCCAGCCTCTTCTGGAAATCACGGTCTTGGAACTGATGATTAGCCCTGTTGGAAAGATCCAGGATCCGCTGGTGTGAAAGCTGAGGGTGGCCGGTAGTCCGGTAGAGACTTCGCCATTCTTTTTCTTCAAGTAGACGAATAGAATTGTTAGAGAGTGAATGGAAGATAATAGATTATCTTCGTCTTCGATGGTTTTATAATCAATCAAGCGGTGGATGTGAACACAACAGGCAATTAATTCAGTGTCGAAATCATGTATTCGCCAGATTTTAAAATGGTCATTTTATGATAACTCAGCTTAATTTTGAACAATCAACTTGAAATTTTGGAAAATACTCTCTCTCTCTCTCTCTCTCTCTCTCTCTCTCTCTCTCTCTCTCTCTCTCTCTCTCTCTCTCTCTCTCTCTCTCTCTCTCTCTCTCTCTCTCTCTCTCTCTCTCTCTCTCTCTCTCTCTCTCTCTCTCTCTCTCTCTCTCTCTCTCTCTCTCTCTCTCTCTCTCTCTCTCTCTCTCTCTCTATCTCTATCTCTATCTCTATCTCTATCTCTATCTCTATCTCTATCTCTATCTCTCTCTCTCTCTCTCTCTCTCTCTCTCTCTCTCTCTCTATCTATCTCTCTCTCTATCTATCTCTCTCTCTCTATCTCTCTCTCTATCTATCCCTCTATCTCTATCTCTATCTCTATCTCTATCTCTATCTCTATCTCTATCTCTATCTCTATCTCTATTTCTATCTCTATCTCTATCTCTATCTCTATCTCTATTTCTATCTCTATCTCTATCTCTATCTCTATCTCTATCTCTATCTCTATCTCTATCTCTATCTCTATCTCTATCTCTATCTCTATCTCTATCTCTATCTCTATCTCTATCTCTATCTCTATCTCTATCTCTATCTCTATCTCTATCTCTATCTCTATCTCTATCTCTATCTCTATCTCTATCTCTATCTCTATCTCTATCTCTATCTCTATCTCTATCTCTCTCTATCTCTCTCTCTCTCTCTCTCTCTCTCTCTCTCTCTCTCTCTCTCTCTCTCTCTCTCTCTCTCGCTCTTTCTCTCTATATATATATATGTATATATATAAATATAAATATAATTATATCGTAGAGGTCGCGTGACATGAGTGGTCACGTGTTAACTTTAAGCTCTGTGATTAGCTTCAATATACTGGTCACGTGTTCTACGAGCTCTCTTCTTGGCGCTATTACTGAAGGAACATTGTGTTTCATCCTTGCCAACGGTATTGAAACTTGAGTAAACTGAAACGCTTGGAAATTGTTTAAAGGCCTAACTCAAAATTCCACTTTGAAAATTAAGGTTATCATGGAATTCTACGTTGATTCAGTTTCGCGAATATTGCGAACTGAGATATGGGCGATTTTGTTCATTTTTTGGGATTATTTAAACGCAGAATCAACAGTTAGGTAAATATTGAGCATATGGTATTTGGATCATAACTCATGAATATATACTGTTATGAACTATAAATTTACTGAATTAAACTTAATCTACTTAATCGCTGTAATAAAGTAATGAAAATTGAACACAAACAAATGTTCGGCAGTACTAGTAGCACTGCTTAACTAACTCGCTGGTGCACTTGAGCATTTGGTTACCATGGTTATGAGCAATTGTTTGAGTTTGACCACCCTGGCCTGGTTACCATGTCCTTTCTAACTTGCTGGCACACTTGACTTGCGGAATTGAAGGAATCCCAAGAGAACATTAGTAAGACCAGCAATTCCAGAGAGAATAACAAACACCGTAGGCAAACAGAAGTTTACCGGAAAAATAAAGGTTCACTTCGTCTAAATCCAAGTATATGAATTTTCATCAAGATTGGACAAAAACAAAAAAATGACTGAGTTATGAGCCAAAAACCATATGCCCATATTTAGGCATACGCACCAAATTTGATCGATTTTTGCCCATAAATTGGTAAAATATTAATATTTTTGAATGAAACCAACTTTATATTAATATGGAAGGTAAGCCTATACTACACATTCTCTATGATTATCCTTACTGGGCCGCGCTCAGCCTGTCATTCCGCCAAATCTATATTAAATCTATATTAATGAACATAATAGCCTGGGGTCCTCAGGTAATGATTATCCGCGCTCACTAAATCGCTCGCCCAAACTTTTTTCATTTTACTGGTAATTTTCGCATTGGATAAATTGCAAAATTGGTTTGACTGTCAGGAGTGCTGGTTCTATCCTAATTACGTCTTTACACTTTGCTTCTCGGAGGAAGAAAGCAGCAGTGTCTCTTATGGCATTGGCGCAAAAGTTGAAATTGTTGGCATGGTTTGGGCGAGCGATTTAGTAAGAGCCATATAATACATATGAAATAAATCTTTAAACTGATTCTACTGATAATGATATGAATTTTATATGAATCACAGTGCTGGCAAGCACGACCGGTGCATTTATTGTGGGTATACTATGTACCCCCTTTACTATTATACCCCCTTTACTATTATACCCCCTTTACTATTATACCCCCTTTGGTACACGTTACAAGCCTCTTTCGTGCACGCGAAGCGTGCACTCCGGCCGGAGGCGGCGGCCGAAGGCCGCCGCCTCCGGCAGGAGTTTTTCAGGCATTAAGACTCATCGGAAGTCGTTCAGCAGATTTATTTTTAGTTCAAAACATTCTAATTTGATGTCAAAGATGACAGGAATAAAAAATAGTTATGTTGAGATTTTTAAGAAATTTGCATAAAATACTCGCCAGCACTGTTATACGAAATTCGGTAAAAAACCCAAAATCGCCATATTCAGGTGCCTTAAAAACCATGTTAAAATCGAGTTAGAGATCTGAAATTTTTCAGGGCGTCTAGACGTTGACCAAATCGACTGCAAAAAAAGTTTCAGGTTTCAGGAACATCGGGAAGTGGGTTTTCTAGAACCCCTGTTTTACGACAGATTGTCGTGATATCTATCTATATATATACATATATACATATATATTCAGGGATAGACGCTTTGCCAGTCAATTGTAGCCTGTATTTAATTGTCCATAGATTCAAAAGTTATAAAAGATACAGCCATTTCCGACCACAGGTCTTGAAAATAATTGTTTACACTTTAGTTTACATTGTATAAACAAATTATTTGACGTCATGAACACCCCTTGATGACGTCATCAAGTAAACCGTTTTTAAAACTTGATTTTTGACAAAGTAATAACTTTTAACAAGAATTGCGCCCGTTGTTTCGTTTTGGCGGACGCTAGATTTCCATTTCACATTTACTTTAAATTTAAGTATAAGCTCCAATCAGCTCACTTCAATCTTCATGATATGATAATAATATTGATAAATTATGCATCAAATACGGGAAACACTTGAAATTCAGTTCAATTGCCGTAGAACTTAACTTGTATCTGTAATTCAAGAAATTATCAGCAAAGGTAAACTATACTCGTGTACACATCAATACACTACGCGTGCCACGTACAAATTGGGCGTATTGCCTAATAGTAATATTATACATTACATGCATCATATACATTAAAACACAGTCGCGCCGCGCATTCATAGATCACAGGCTATCTATACATCACATCTCCGCAAGCAATCCTCGCGCGCGCAACTTTTTCGTTGCACGGTAACGGACGGAATGACATCATATTCAGACCCGCCTACTGCTATCTCCAAAATCCACGTTTTTCTGCAAAAACCTCCATTTGTAACCTTTCACTATTGCCTTTTTTCAAAAGGGTGAAAAGGAAAAAATGATTTAACACCATTAAAAAGTAATTTTATTCAAAATCTGAGGATATTTTCATCTTAGATAATTGTTCAAGCATTCTGAAAATCTACCGGAAAGTTTTTCTAGCTTGCTCCTTCATAAAGATATTCGTCATTGAAGTTTGTGCTTTTTTGAAGAATTATTTTATAAAAACGTCAATTTTGCGATTTAGTATTCTCTGGTGTTGGGCCATGCCTTGGGTTGTGGAGCTCAGTTCTGCTTCCTATAGATATAAATTGTGCATTAGGCTAGTTTTAAAGTTAAAAATCGAAAAGTTGCACACGTGGGGACACGCCCAAATTGATAGAAAATTGCTAAAATCACTGAAAATTGCTGTTTTCGTCATTTTCTGTCAACTTTAGAGTGCCGTTGTGATTACAGTTCTTCTTGAAATACTTTGAAACTTTGCATGCTTATCAAGCTATATATACAACAATTACATGCAAAATTTTACGGCGATTCAATATTGGATGCGCACGCAACGTCCGCTCAAAGTTTGCACGTGCGAAAGGTGAGAATTTTGCTCATTTGTGATTTCCAACAAATTCTGCTTTGCCACGACAGTTTAATGTCATTATAAATGAATTTAATGCCAACTTGAATGAGTATTAAGTGGCATATTCAGTCAGTGATCGACCGATATGCTTACCTAAACACAAGGAAATGTTTTTAAAGGAAAAATTTCGAAATTGTTGAAACTTCCTCCTTATTAATGAAGATATCAGTTTATATTTCGACTTTATAAAGTACCCTGACAGTGACATTATAATCAAAAAGAGATGATATTTGACCAAAACCCATAATCATGGGTAGAGTGGACCGCTGCCAGTGTCTCTCTTTCCCAAACAAAAGGAAATGATATTAATTTGATTGACCGTTCTCAAATGCAAAATGATACCGAGAATGAAATCGGTCGCTCGCTTTTCCCATTCATTTACAATTGTAATAGATTAAGAAGAACTACCCAAAGGCAGCTGTACTCAGCAATAAAGATTCAATAAACTTCAGCTAATTCAATAAGTAATAACTACCACCCTTACCCCGAAATACTAGGTATCGACCCGAACGCAACCCAAAGAGATTTTTACAGCATCTGATTGATGTACCTAATCAATCGAAACTTATTACAATTCGTAAGCCGTGAATGAATGGGAAAAGCGAGCGACCGATTTCATTCTCGGTATCATTTTGCATTTGAGAACGGTCAATCAAATTAATATCATTTCCTTTTGTTTGGGAAAGAGAGACACTGGCAGCGGTCCACTCTACCCATGATTATGGGTTTTGGTCAAATATAATATACTGTTATGAACTTAATTTACTGAAATAAACTTAATCTACTTAATCGCTGTAATAAAGTAATGAAAATTGAACACAAACAAATGTTCGGCAGTAGCACTGCTTAACTAACTCGCTGGTGCACTTGAGCATTTTGTTACCATGGTTATGAGCAAGTGTTTGACCACCCTGGTTACCATGTCCTTTCTATTTCTAACTTGCTGGTACACTTGGGTTGCGGAATTGAAGGAATCCCAAGAGAACATTAGCAAGACCAGCAATTCCAGAGAGGATAACACACACGTAGGGAATCAGAAATTCACCATACAAAAATACCTCATCATGACTGGCAGCTATTATAGTCCACCAGATGAATGCGATTAAAGTGAGTCCGCCTGAAAAGATTAATAATAGTTAGCTTAGTTAGATAATATAGTTAAATAATAATAGTTAGATTAACAATGTTTATATTGTGGAAATGGTGGAAACTAGGTCATTTCGTCCCCGGAAATTTATCGTTTATGTGGAAAATGTGAAATGTTAATGAATCCGATAGACTAACAATCTCAGAAATAGACTACCCGTCAAAGTTTATTTATTTTAAATCTGTCTTACTAACCCGAGATAAGTCCGGCGCCGAGAATCAATAAGACGAATAGCTTTCTGTCTGAAAATTATTGTAGGTGAATAGTCGAGTGAATAGTCGAGTGAATAGTCGAGTGAATTTGATAAACACATGTCAACATCGAAAATAGTGTGACTCAAAATGAATGACATTCAATGACATTCAGTGTTTGTGTTTAATTTTACATACTAATAAACAAATATAGCGTAGATACTATAAATTTAGGCTTATCTTAACTTACTATCTTTAAGAAATCCTAGCGTCATCATACCTGAAAAGAATATGTACAGTAAAACCCCGATTTACAGCGGAGTTTGGGGGAAAGGAAACATCCGTGTTAAATCGGGATTCGCGGTAAATCGGTTTCCGATAAATTGTAATTGGTGTTTTACTGTACCATACATATGTGTAACATGCTAGTAAGCATGGAGGGTAAAATTATAGTCGGGAATTACGTAGTCGTTCTAAGTAATTTTAGGGGATGTTTTGAATTCATTGCTTATTAATTCCTTACTCTATATAACATATAACTGCTCGATGTGAAAAAGAATATAAATTCACTAAAATAAGACTTACCAGTAGAGCTGACTACATCAACCAATCTCAAGAACGAGCACAACCCCCCGGCCAGGAAAGCCAACAAGATCTGAGCAAGTGTGTGGTTACCATGGTTACGAGCAAGTATTTGGTTACCATGGTTACGAGCAAGTGTGTGGCTACCATGGTTACGAGCAAGTATTTGGTTACCATGGTTATGAGCAAGTATGTGGTTACCATGGTTACGAGCAAGTATTTGGTTACCATGGTTATGAGCAAGTATGTGGTTACTATGGTTACGAGCAAGTATGTGGTTACTATGGTTACGAGCAAGTATGTGATTACTATGGTTACGAGCAAGTATGTGGTTACCATGGTTACGAGCAAGTATGTGGTTACTATGGTTACGAGCAAGTATGTGGTTACTATGGTTACGAGCAAGTATGTGGTTACTATGGTTACGAGCAATTATGTGGTTACCATGGTTACGAGCAAGTATTTGGTTACCATGGTTACGAGCAAATATTTGGTTACCATGGTTACGAGCAAGTATTTGGCTACCATGGTTACAAGCAAGTATTTGGTTACCATGGTTACGAGCAAGTATTTGGTTACCATGGTTACGAGCAAATATTTGGTTACCATGGTTACGAGCAAATATTTGGTTACCATGGTTATGAGCAACTATTTGGTTACCATGGTTACGATCAAGTATTTGGTTACCATGGTTAAGAGCAAGTATTTGTTTATTAGCAAGTATTTGGTTACCATGGTAACCATGTCCTTTAATTAATAAATCATCACTTTTAGTCATTTCTGCTAATGTCTGGTTTTTAACTAAAACTATTTTTATTACCCAACGTGTTAAATTTATGAAATAATTTGTAATTTCTTACCATGACAGTAAAGAGTATGCCACTATGAACGCCGTATATGCACACACAGAGGAAAAGAAGGAAAGTGGCTACCGCCGCAGCAATAAATCCCAATATGTTTATAGACTTTTCCATCACTAGTCACTACTCGGTACTACTACTTGGCCTTTCCACTATTCGGGGTTGATTTTTTCTTTTAAGTTGTTTTTCAGTTTTATCAGGAGATGTACATATTAATTCAACGAAAATTCCCGTGATATGGATTTAGCAAAGTAAATAATAAATAGGAGCGATGATCAAACATATTCGACTGTTCAGAATGGCATATTAGATCATTAAATTCTTCAATTGCAAGTTGCTTCCCTTATTTGAGTCATGACCCAACTTCTCAACGGTGTTAAAATATTACTGGGTCAGGACCCTCAATAGCTTCGTCGACACATAACAGGGGAGATACTAGATCTTATCAATTATTAGAAATTACCAGTTAAACCTTAAGCGCGTGTAAATAATTGAGACCACATGATAAAGGGTGGTAACTGGTAAAAGTAAAAACATTAAAATATCGTTAAATAATGTAATCGCAACGAACAAAGTTCCGTATAAAAGTAAAAGAGACATTTTCGTGAGGCTGCTAGTGAGCTTTCTGAGCGATTTATTTAATGAATCAACCCACGTCTGCTTATAACATTAACAATGTAGACATGAATCGAACATTTGAACATTCCATTATCAAATCAAAGAACTACTGGAACCAATAGATGTGAAGATTGGCGAGATCTAAATTAAAACCTGAAATATTGAGTGATCATATTACACAGTTGTACTGTTGGAATGTTGGAGTGTTGGAGTGTATAAGAAATTAAGAACAGTTCCAGGTGCGCTGGTTCAGGTTACAGGTGCAGGTCACGTGATCTTCACGGGGAATAGCTCCGAACGACATGTCAACATGCAGTTCAAGGAAAGCTCCTGGCACGGTGTAAAGACCACTGTGCCTGCATTTAACAAAAAGGCACAATGCTCGTGTAAATAATTGAGACCATGAAAAAGGGCGGTAACTGGTAAAAGTAAAAACATTAAAATATCGTTAAATAATGTAATCGCAACGAACAAAGTTCCGTATAAAGTAAGTCAGACATTTTAGTGAGCTTTCTGAGCGATTTATAAAATGAATCAACCCACGTCTGCTCATAAAAATGTAGATAGAATCGAACATTTGAACATTCCATTATCAAATCAAAGAACGACTGGAACCAATACACAATAGATATGAAGATTGGCGAGATCTAAATTAAAACCTGAAATATTGAGTGATCATATTGCACAGTCGGACAGTTGGAGTGTATAAGAACAGTTCCAGGTGCAGGTCACGTGATCTTCACGGGGGACCACGTGGTATATTTTGGTATGTATCACGTGACACTAACTCTATTATAGGTAACTATAAAATTAACAGTTACAAGTTGGTTTGTATTTTTGCACTTCACTGTCTTTAGATGAGGCTTACATTTACCTACTTCATTTTATTATGCAGTAAGATCATCTGAAATATAGTTAGTGAACTTAATGTGTAAAGTTACGTGTCTAACTTATTGTTTGTATTAACACGTTGCTACGTTACTAGGATACCACGTGTCTACGTTGCTAGGATTGTAACAGATGGCCACGTTTTGTCCTTCGTCTGAGTATCAACCCTGAAACCGGATAACCCTGGGATTAGGGTTTATGTAAAAGTAAAACCGTTTTGTACGGCTGCAAAACCATAAAAACCAAAGTCACGTGAAATTTTTGGGCGAGCGAATTAGTCAGAACTCAGAGCCCCCCCCCCCCCTCGGCTGATTACGTAATATGTTAACGACCCCAAAATTAAGGACAAAATTAGGCTGCAGTAATTCTGTTTTCAAAATCGAATTATAATTCTAATAATAAAAGAATTTTACATAAAAAGATAAATACATATTGATATAATAATAAAACATGACCGACATTCGAGATTTAAATCAAAGGCCTAATTTATGTTAAAGAGTTAATTGAAATTCCTAAGGCTTACGATAATTTAATCTTACTGCCAACTCCCCGATATAAAATAATCTATCCAAGTATATAACCTATCCTATAATGTCAAATAATAAGTTAATACATAATTATAATCATACTCATAATACAAGATTCAATTCAAAATACGATAATCGTTATTCAAATTGGGGAAGCGATCGAAACTGATTTATAAAAGTAACATGTGCCTTTCACTTGAAACTTAAATAATTTACGACGCTACCGTATTACCAAGATTTTTAAAAACATCAAAACTTTTAGTTACAATTTCTAGACTTGCACAAGTAATACTACACACAGTCACGCAATTTGTGATAAGTTGCCAGAAAAGATATTGATACAGGAAGAAAAAACGCTTTTTCAAGATTATTCAACATGATCAACTCGGGGGAAAACTTTATTAATATAGTCTCAGTCACAGAGCATATCATTATCATGATCCTCAACTAATAGTCAAGACACAACTTACCATAGTTACCATAGTGACCATAGTTACCATAGTTACCATAGTAACCATAGTTACCATAGTTACCATAGTAACCATAGTTACCATAGTTACCATAGTTACTATAGTTACCATAGTTACCATAGTAACCATAGTTACCATAGTTACCATAGTTACTATAGTTACCATAGTTACCATAGTTACCATAGTTACTATAGTTACCATAGTTACCATAGTAACCATAGTTACCATAGTTACCATAGTTACTATAGTTACCATAGTTACCATAGTTACCATAGTTACCATAGATACCATAGTTACCATAGTTACTATAGTCACAGACCACCCTCAACTAATAGTCAAGGCACCACTTGCGTAGCTGACGGAACTATCTCCCTTCTTCACACACCTGCTACTTTGGGAGTAGTGCAGGAAAGAGAACTTGGCTTCACTACTTGGGTTCCGCGAGGAGTGCTCCTCTATCGTTGCCAGCAGCAACAGTATGGGTCGTCGTCCACAGATTGTGTTGGATGTTTTGGAGAGGTATGTTTGGAATGCGTTGGAGTTGAGCGATTCTATGGTATCCATTCCTGGGGGAGAGTTACCATAGTTACAGGGGATGGTTTGTCATTTGTTACGGAGAAAGGGGGGAGCAGCATTAATTGTTAAACACAACAGATAATTGCTGCAGAGAGTTGGTGTTGTTTGTCAGTAAGTTCAAAGTTACCTCCCAAATATTAATTTATCTCTGTGATTGGATTTAAAGTAATAATTAAAAGCAATATTAGCTATATTAAATTGAAAGTGTTTAACTCTATAATCTCATACCTAGTCTATCGAGTTTGGTAATTGCTTGCCAGATAGGAATGTCGTTTTCACCGTTCACATTGCAGTAACTGAAAGTAAACGGGTTACAGGGTAGAAAGTAGATTTACAAAACTACGGCTTATCTACGGCTATCGGCTTATCGGACCTACTTGAACAGATATTAATTGGAAACTCTAGTATGGCGTTCATTTTAATGTCCGATAAGGTAGTTCGTGAATTGGTTGAGAGAAGATAATTATTATCATTAACCCCACGTGGTGTTATATCAGCCTACGCGTAAATATACATATCGAGGCTACACTACGTCATCGTTTGTGACTGTATGATGGTATTTTAGTGTCTACCTTGAATCTTCCCTTCTCAGAACAAAATGCAGCATGTTTAGACAAAGCTATGTCAGCCAGGTATTTGTCGTTCATGGGCTTTGAAACATGACAATTCTTAAATTTCCCCATTTAAAATAAATCATTATAGCTACTACCAATTAAGAAACTTAAATTGATCACCTATCAAATGATGAGTTGTAAAAGTTCGTTATATTATTTAAAGTTACAATGATTTATAAACGCCTCCTAGGCTAGACGGTGAAACATTTCTTATATCATATTAACTGTTTGTAGAGTGAATTAACTTTCGTGAAACAGCCATCTTGAAAGTTGGATTTAAGTTTTTTTTAAATAAACTCTTCCATTTTATCGCATGAAGTTATCTTTAGCGATTGTTAATAAAAACAGTTTGTTCAATTATCTATCAAACGATTGGTAGGAATAGTCTGTTACATTACTTTTTGTGTGCCATATGTCTTACTATGTATAGGGCGACATTGTATATTATATATTATTAAATCTGTTGCCATTTTACTATATTTTGTGATAAAATTAAACAAAATGGTTTTTTAACAAAAATTAAATTGCTCTCCAATCATTGCATTCAAACACAGTTTCATGCAGATCCAATGTGACGAGAAGTGTTTCACTGTCTAGCCTTGAACGCAAGTAGAAGGCTGGCCATTACAGTGATGACAACTCCGATTGTAAAATTGCAAGCCATATTGGGCCACCACAGGTCGCCCGGGTTGATCCCCATATCAAGTAAAATAGTTGTGCCATTATATGGACATTCTTCATCACCGCAGTCCAGTGTTAGATCTTTGAACTCATTGATCATCATCGCGTGATATCCATATCTTAACCAGGACAGGTATTTGATGGGAATGAGGTAAACAGTTTCTTTCACGTGTTTTAACAGTCCCATCACGGGCATAAAGGGAAGAACTATACTCGCTGAAATGGCTTTTGCAGATGTTGGATCTTCTGCTGCCACTCCTACGAACCAACCTATGCCAGAAGACGTGAAACATGAGACCAGCAAAGAAACAAAAGCAGTAGAGAAAGCTCCTGCACTTATCACCAAACCAGACATAACGTAGAAGATGACCAAAGCAAGGAGCACAAAGGGGACGAGTGCAAGGAGTTCAAGTAACACAACCGATATAAAGTATGGTAAAATCGTGTACAACCCGTTTTGGTACTCCCTTTTGATGATGTTTATTTCAAGTGCAATTCTTAGAGCTGAGAAGTTCATTGATGACGCAGTAAAGGACAGCACACACATAAAGAATAGACCACTTTTGTTGGTACGAACTGAGGAGATGTCATTGTCCGTCCCAAAGTAGATGAAACCTAGAATAAACGATATGATGATACAAACTGCAAAGCGTGCTCGGGTTATCCGAGGATTCCTGAGCCCTTCTGTGAGACTACGCCGAAAGGTTTCTGAAAGTTGATCCCAGAACTTTGCTTTCAGTTTTGTTTCTATATAGCTGTTGTTGATATTCTTGAAAGCTTTTGAAGTTGATTCAATGTCAGTGTTAACTTTCGTATGGAATGTTGATCTCTCGTAAGATTGGACAATTTCGGCACATCTTTCTCTACAGTTGACCTCGTCGTCAGATTTTATAGCAAGAGTGTAGATGAAGTGATCAGCTGGACAGTGGTACGGAGGACAAGTGTATCCAGCTTCTTCAAAGTGTGTCAGAGCATCAGTGTGACTGCCAAAAAATGCTATTTTACCTTCCGATAACAGACAAACTTTATCAAAGAAGTCGTAAAGAACAGACGAAGGCTGATGGATAGTGCACAATATTGTGCAGCCAGATTCAGCCAGATCTTTCATTATTTTGATTACGCTTTCTGCCATGAAGCTGTCTAGTCCACTAGTCACCTCATCTAAGAATAAAAGTGAAGCCCCAAAAATCAATTGAGTTGCCACAGCTAACCTTTTTTTCTCTCCTCCTGAAATACCTGGCCGGTCAACGTCTCCTACAAAACTGTTCTTTATTTTGCTCAAACCAACCTTTTGAAGAGCTTCAAGTGCCATAAGCTCTTTTTCTTTCCTTGGTATAAGTGGATCTAGCTTTAAGCTTGCATAAAAGAAGATAACTTCACATACTGTCATTGAAGCGACGAAGGTATCATCTTGTCCTACATATCCTGACAAATCTTTGATCTTATCTTCTGGAATTGTTAGGCCATTGAATTTAACATCACCACTGACTTCCAGTTTTCTGGGCAGTCTGCTCGCCAGTGCGTTTAAAAGCGTGGTTTTCCCAGATCCACTGGCTCCGAGTATTGCTACAAAGTCACCTGGTCGAGCAACTCCAGATACTTCGTTTAGTAAGATATTTGGGATTAGGTCTGACTTTTTGTTTCGCATACAACTGAACCCTACAGATAGAGGGGAAAAAACTGACAAGTTTTTCCAGGTTAGATGAATTTCAGAGGGGTTAGTTAGATGAATTTCAGAAGAATGGGATCTATTCTTGCTCTTGTCAGGTGATGATATTCCTTCGGTTCGATCTAACTTTAAACTCTCTTCTGAAACCATATCGATAATCTACTCTCCTGCAAAAAGTGTTATAAGAAAACAGGTTGCCGATAATATCACTTAAAACTATCTAAGTTACAGATTGAGATAAATGAAAAGCAATGAAGGAAGTTAACTGATATTATTAAAAATAAGACGTGATTATCAGCGAATGTAGTGTAGAATTCTTAAATGCTGTTGAGCCAATAAGATAAGTAAAGTTTTCAGGAATTTCTGGAGAAAAATAATTATCAAAAATTTGTGTTAAATCGTTTTATAAGAATAAATTTATCGTTAGTTTTATGTCACCGAACAAAGGTTTAGCACATCAAAACTGTATTTTAAGAGATTCTTTGTTTACTCAATTTCAAAGCCAAATAAAATTTATATGGATCCATGGTTTGAAATATAGTGTTGATAACTTTATGATCATGCATGGCTCGCTGAACGGGATTTTAGCGAAACTTTAAGCCATCATTCATTGACCATAGTTTGTTACCGAGCAGTCTTGTAAGGAAGAAGTAAACAGGTTAACAGATTGCATCCAAGTCCAATAACAAAATTGCAAACCATATTGGGCCACCACACCTCACTTGGGTTAATCCCCATTTCAAGTAAAACAGTTGTGCCATTATATGGACATTCTTCATCACCACAGTCCAGTGTTAGATCTTTGAATTCATTGACCATCAAGGTGTGATATCCATATCTTATCCAGGACAGGTATTTAAAAACAAAGAGGTGAACCCCAACCCCGTCATCATCCTTCAGAAAGCCTCCAAGGTAAATGAATGGTGCAGTGAATGCTGCAGGAATTGCACCGGCTACCTTTGGATTTTCTGCCGCTACTCCTATCAACCAACCTATACCATTAGATGTCCAGGTTAGGAGAAGCAAACAAGCATAGGCGGTGAAAAATGCCTGTAGATCCGCTCTTAAACCTACCACGAAGTAGAAGATAGCTAGTTCAACGAGAAGAGACGGAATGACGAACAGGTACTCACAGAACACAACCGAAAGGAAATAAGACAGGGTTGAGTATAGTCCATTTTTATATTCTCTCCTGATGACGGGGAATTCCAATGGGATTTTGAGTGCAGAGCAACCTATAGACCTTACTGCATAGACCAACACTAAAATGAAAATAACGCCACCTTTATCCACCTTGACCGTATCAATGTTATTGCTTGTGTTAAAGTAGAAAAATCCCAAGAAAACGATAGCAAGAATATCCGAAATAAATCTTCCTCGGGCATATTTGGGATTCCTTTTCATCTCTCTTACACTTCTGCAGAGGTTCTCCGAAAACTGACCCCATGTTGTAGCTTTATGTGTGGTAGTTACATCTTTGTTGTTAATATTGTTGGGATACTTTGAAATTGACTCAATGTCAGTGATGACTTTTTTGTAGAATTTCGATCTCTCGTAAGATTGTACGATGTCGGCACATCTTTCTCTACATTTGACCTCGTCGTCAGATTTTATAGCAAGAGTGTAGATGAAGTGATCGGCTGGACAGTGGTACGGAGGACATGAGTATCCAGCTTCTTCAAAGTGTGTCAGAGCATCAGTGTGGCTGCCAAAAAATGCTATTTTACCTTCCGATAACAGACAAACTTTATCAAAGAAGTCGTAAAGAACAGACGAAGGCTGATGGATAGTGCACAATATTGTGCAGCCAGATTCAGCCAGATCTTTCATTATTTTGATTACGCTTTCTGCCATGAAACTGTCTAGTCCACTGGTCACCTCATCTAAGAATAAAAGTGAAGCCCCAAAAATAAGTTGAGTTGCCACAGCTAACCTTTTTTTCTCTCCTCCTGAAATACCTGGCCGGTCAACGTCACCTACAAAACTGTTCTTTATTTTGCTCAACCCAACCTTTTGAAGAGCTTCAAGTGCCATAAGCTCTTTTTCTTTCCTTGGTATAAGTGGATCTAGCTTTAAGCTTGCATAAAAGAAGATAACTTCACATACTGTCATTGAAGCGACGAAGGTATCATCTTGTCCTACATATCCTGACAAATCTTTGATCTTATCTTCTGGAATTGTTAGGCCATTGAATTTAACATCACCACTGACTTCCAGTTTTCTGGGCAGTCTGCTCGCCAGTGCGTTTAAAAGGGTGGTTTTCCCAGATCCACTGGCTCCGAGTATTGCTACAAAGTCACCTGGTCGAGCAACTCCAGATACTTCGTTTAGTAAGATATTTGGGATTAGGTCTGATTCGTTGCCTCTCGCACAACAAGATTGTATAGGAACAGGGGACGTCGAGAGAACTGTCAAATTTTGCCAGGTTAGATGAATTTCAGATGGATGTGATATAGTAATTCCTTTTTCAGTTGATGAATTTACCTCGGTTTGATGTAAGTTGAAACTCTCTTCTGAAACCATATCCTCTTCTGCTAATAGTAGTATGAATATTAGGAAACTGTTGCAGAAACATTGCCGATAATATCACTTAACAGGGGTCGTTACGTAATCATTTTTTAGTTTTACTATTTTTTGACACAACAGCTATGTGTAAAACTTTTACACATAGCTATTGTGTCAAAATTACACTAGCGTTTGGAAATCACTTACAAATAAGCGATAAATCAAAAGTTGAAAGGGGAATGTGGATAGAATGAGTTAAATGCTATTATTCTAACTGAAATGTGGATATCATTTGAAGTGAACTATAAATAAAACGTTCGCAGCAACTTCAAGTTATCATCAGTTAGTTTTACCCAAGAAAAGTTAACCTTCGCAAATTAATTGCACGGAAATAAAGCGCATACAGATAAAATTCGTACAAAAGAAGACAAACAAAATCCCGAAGAACAAAGGAACAAATCTTAAAAACACAGCTAAGAAGACGTCGTGTAAAGGACATAACTTAATTTTGGTTAATAATTAAGTAAGGTAATTCTAGAAGTGTTAATTTGCCGTTCTTGCAATTATTCTGGTTTTGTTTTAGGAATAATTAATATTTAGAGGTCAAAATTCGAGAAGGATACATATTTATCGTGAAATATGTTGACTTGAATGCAACTGTAGAGTATTTAAATAGATACAGGAGTGTAGATTACACAAGCTTAGCCTATTAGCTAGTTCGCTAACAAATAACTAGCTGAAATGTAATATTAAACTATTAAAAGCTTTTAAAAACGTCTTAACACATAATATCACAAATATAGGAGAGTTACCTGTGTGATGAGAAATTAAATCAATGCCAAGTTAACTGAATTAATTTACACAACCACATAGCCATTAGCCAGGTTCATGTGCTAGATGTAATAGAAAAATGTGAGGAATATGGGGGTAGCACAACTTTCGATGTTATTTCTAGGAAAATATATAATTTGATTCGGATCGCTAGGACGTGGAGAATGTAATGGACATATTTCTTAAATATGCTGTAGTTCAATGAGTATGTAATGTGTTCTAGGAACGTTCTAGAACGTTTTGCCCATTAGATATAGATTTGCGGATTTCCGAAGGATCATATTACACAATTGAAAGCACCTATCTGTACCGTGCCTTTCTATTTATTATCGTAGACCCTTATAATATAATGCAGTAAAGCGCAGATATCCGTAAATGTTTAAAAAATAATAATTGTTTTTAATTGTATGTGTTTGTTTGTTAACCATCGTTTAGTTTGCTGTTATAATACATGATGGGAAGTGGGATCTAAACTTATAATCCCATCAAATCTGTGTGTACGTGTGTGTGTAATTTTCTAACGGTTTAATATTAAAACGGTAAGAGTTATGGGACTGGTTTTTTTTGGTATAGTTTCGACAAAACTCTGACGAAGCCAATAAGCAATTTTTTAAATCGGCCGGTTGTAAGTGGTTTAATTGATGGTTTTGTACCCCAAATGTGATACTAAAGTGTCTCACTTTTTCTCCCCTCTCTCTCAAACACACTCTCTCCCCATTTACAGCTCCCCTAATTACTACATAATTAGTTAATTCGGCGGTGGAGCCTTATTAAGTATAATTACTATTGGGTACGTATTACGTACTGGGCGCTCAAAATTAAATTTACTCTAATGCGGCCAGTTTTAAATGCAACAATGATCTAACCTGAAGCGACTGCCCCAGTGGCAGAAATCAGAGGAGATAACAAAGACAGTGTGGGGGTCTGCCAGCAAGGGTTCCAGAACTTTAGCGTACTGTTTAGCGTGATCACCTGACACGTCCCCTACTATTATTGAGACGATTTTAAAGTTGTCTTTATATCCTTCCATCACCTGGCAAGGGGAATTGTCACTTAGGCATCCATTTGATTAATTCTTTTTATAAAAATCAGTAAATATAATTTCAATTACATATTTTTATAATAATCCAGCTTGATAATCTATTATTTGATGATCTATTATTTAAAATCTTTTAAAAAGCAACCTAGCTGGATAAATAATAATGGGCGGTTAGATACCAGACGGCCGCTATACGGCCACCACACGGCCACCATACAGCCATCACACGGCTACCAGACGGCTACCACACGGCCACCACACGGCTACCACACAGCCACCACACGGCTACCACACGGCCACCACACGGCCACCATAAAGCCACCACACGGCTACCACACGGCCACCACACAGCTACCACACGGCCACCACACAGCTACCACACGGCCACCACACGGCCACCACACGGCTACCACACGGCCACCACACAGCTACCACACAGCCACCACACAGCCACCACACGGCTACCACACGGCCACCACACAGCTACCACACGGCCACCACACGGCCACCACACAGCTACCACACGGCCACCACACAGCTACCACACGGCCACCACACGGCCACCACACAGCTACCACACAGCCACCACACGGCCACCACACAGCTACCACACGGCCACCACACGGCCACCATAAAGCCACCACACGGCTACCACACGGCCACCACACAGCTACCACACGGCCACCACACAGCTACCACACGGCCACCACACGGCCACCACACGGCTACCACACGGCCACCACACAGCTACCACACAGCCACCACACAGCCACCACACGGCCACCACACAGCTACCACACGGCCACCACACGGCCACCACACAGCTACCACACGGCCACCACACAGCTACCACACGGCCACCACACGGCCACCACACAGCTACCACACAGCCACCACACGGCCACCACACGGCCACCACACGGCCACCACACAGCTACCACACGGCCACCACACAGCTACCACACGGCCACCACACGGCCACCACACAGCTACCACACAGCCACCACACGGCCACCACACAGCTACCACACGGCCACCACACGGCCACCACACAGCTACCACACGGCCACCACACAGCTACCACACGGCCACCACACGGCCACCACACAGCTACCACACAGCCACCACACGGCCACCACACGGCTACCACACAGCCACCACACGGCCACCACACGGCCACCATGATACTGCTACCACACGGCCATCATACGGCCACCATACGACTACCACACGGCTACCACACGGCTACCATACAGCCACCACACGGCTACCACACAGCCACCACACGGCTACCACACGGCCACCACACGGCCACCACACGGCTACCACACGGCCACCACATGGCTACCACACGGTTACCACACGGACACCACACGGCCACCATACGACTACCACACGGCTACCACACGGCTACCATACAGCCACCACACGGCTACCATACAGCCACCACACGGCTACCACACAGCCACCAGACAGCTACCACACGGCTACCACACGGCCACCACACGGCTACCACACGGCTACCACACTGCCACCACACGGCCACGACACGGCTACCATACCATAACTCACCTTAGCAATATACGGATACTGCATCTCCAGACTGTGTTCGTTTTCATCATCGTAAACATCAAAATCAGTGAAAAGTTCAGATTTGTAGAGCTCTGAAACTGTTTCAGAGTCTGTGGTGAGATCGTAAAGGGGTGTTTCAAACTTAGAACACTTGCTAAGGGCACATCCTGAGGGAGCAGTGTGTTACTATCGAATATATAGGAGGGCTGCTTAAGGATTACAGTGCAATGGTTAAATATTCATGATCACAGAAGTTTATAAACAAACATTCAGTCATCTAACCTAGTAAATTTGATGTCCAAAGCTATTTTGCATTACAAACTGATATCGCATTATTTGTACCATGATTACAGATTCTACACAAACCACTCTACCAACTCACCGGAAAGGTATCTGTTATGACTGGGACCCAACACGATTATCCTACTTGTAGTGGCGGGATTAATGCTCTTGAACCCGTGCGCGCCTGTCTCTCCACAGTATGCTAGTCCCGCGTGAGGACTGATTATTGCACGTGCTGCAGTGACTGGGGTGTCCGCGTGGTTCAGCCACTTTCCTAGCTCGCTATCTGAAATTAGGTGTTAATTAACGTTAATAAGCAGTTGATTAACGATTGAGTTCTAGATTAGTGATTACTGTTTTGTTAAATTTGATATTTATAAATATAGAATTCGCACTTAGTGGATTTTTTAAAACATATTTAATCAGACATATTACATTTTTGGATTTTTCTTTGCTCCTAGCGTTAAACCTAGATTATTGATTAGGGATGGTTATCAAAATACGTAAGCTAAATTCCGGTCATTTTATACCCAGACCCCCTCCCTCAGGTCCCTTTTCCATAAGCTGCTTTATACATAGCAATTGCATAGAAATAACACTGACGAAAAACGTTTCCAACCCCCTCCCCTAAGTTAGCTTACGTGAAATTAAACGAATGATTATTACGTGGTGTTAAATGAATAATCTCTAATCAGACAAATTTCTCACCGAGTTTATTTTTCCCGTCGCTGTACCAGGATCCTGCGTGTGTAGCTCTGCGTCTAGTCATGTGTTACCCTGGCAACAGTACGTCTAGTCATGTGTTACCCTGGCAACAGTACGTCTAGTCATGTGTTACCCTGGCAACAGTACGTCTAGTCATGTGTTACCCTGGCAACAGTACGTCTAGTCATGTGCTACCCTGGCAACAGTACGTCTAGTCATGTGTTACCCTGGCAACAGTACGTCTAGTCATGTGTTACCCTGGCAACAGTACGTCTAGTCATGTGTTACCCTGGCAACAGTACGTCTAGTCATGTGTTACCCTGGCAACAGTACGTCTAGTCATGTGTTACCCTGGCAACAGTACGTCTAGTCATGTGTTACCCTGGCAACGGTACGTCTAGTCATGTGTTACCCTGGCAACAGTACGTCTAGTCATGTGTTACCCTGGCAACAGTACGTCTAGTCATGTGCTACCCTGGCAACAGTACGTCTAGTCATGTGTTACCCTGGCAACAGTACGTCTAGTCATGTGTTACCCTGGCAACAGTACGTCTAGTCATGTGTTACCCTGGCAACAGTACGTCTAGTCATGTGTTACCCTGGCAACAGTACGTCTAGTCATGTGCTACCCTGGCAACAGTACGTCTAGTCATGTGTTACCCTGGCAACAGTACGTCTAGTCATGTGTTACCCTGGCAACAGTACGTCTAGTCATGTGTTACCCTGGCAACAGTACGTCTAGTCATGTGTTACCCTGGCAACAGTACGTCTAGTCATGTGTTACCCTGGCAACAGTACGTCTAGTCATGTGTTACCCTGGCAACGGTACGTCTAGTCATGTGTTACCCTGGCAACAGTACGTCTAGTCATGTGTTACCCTGGCAACAGTACGTCGATTCATGTGTTACCCTGGCAACAGTACGTCTAGTCATGTGTTACCCTGGCAACGGTACGTCTAGTCATGTGTTACCCTGGCAACAGTACGTCTAGTCATGTGTTACCCTGGCAACGGTACGTCTAGTCATGTGTTACCCTGGCAACGGTACGTCTAGTCATGTGTTACCCTGGCAACAGTACGTCTAGTCATGTGTTACCCTGGCAACAGTACGTCTAGTCATGTGTTACCCTGGCAACAGTACGTCTAGTCATGTGTTACCCTGGCAACAGTACGTCTAGTCATGACTCATGTGTTACCCTGGCAACGGTACGTCTAGTCATGTGTTACCCTGGCAACAGTACGTCTAGTCATGTGTTACCCTGGCAACAGTACGTCTAGTCATGTGTTACCCTGGCAACAGTACGTCTAGTCATGTGTTACCCTGGCAACAGTACGTCTAGTCATGTGTTACCCTGGCAACGGTACGTCTAGTCATGTGTTACCCTGGCAACGGTACGTCTAGTCATGTGTTACCCTGGCAACAGTACGTCTAGTCATGTGTTACCCTGGCAACAGTACGTCTAGTCATGTGTTACCCTGGCAACAGTACGTCTAGTCATGTGTTACCCTGGCAACAGTACGTCTAGTCATGTGTTACTCTGGCAACGGTACGTCTAGTCATGCAGACCTAGGTCAGTTAATCAATTTATTAGGGTAGTGTAATGTGGTGAGCTGGTTACAGCAGGGCGTTAGAGTAGTAATCTTTTTAGGATGTTGTAGTGAATAAAAACCGTTGGATTTGAGTGTAAGATTAGATAGATTAGTAAGTTATCGATTAGATAGATTAGTAAGTTATCGAAAGAAAAATGCAATATAATAAGTATGTCAAAAATAATAGAACTTTTAAAATCTTTGTAAATTAATTAAACGGGAAATAAATCGGAAGAAAAGTGACTACTATGCCATAAATTAAATTGTATTTCAAAAAATATTCAAAACATTGTTTTTCACGAAATCGTAGTTACATAAAATTCTGCACCTAAAGTTGGGACAAATATAATATTACATATTAACTATGTATTATTAACACACCATGGGCATAAACAATTAACACTGACATTAATTGCAAACTATCAACACAGTTCAACGATCCTACACACATCACTACGTCGCCTCAGTTCTTCTAAACATTTATCAAAATATTGACAAGTGTTGGGCGTGTAATCAAATAGAATCACTGTTGAATACACTCTGGCTCTGGAGATTGCAGTGTATAGCAAAGGAAAAAAACTCACTGTTGGATCAAACTCATTGTTATCAGCTAATTTAACGGCGATTGCATATAATGTAAAATCGAACAATGTGATAACAGCCGGCCACTCAGCTGACAGAGACCACGATGGTGGAAGAAACGTTATCTTATCGTCTGGTGTGTTCCATCTCTCGAGTACACTTTCTAGGGGAGTCATCGTAGTGTCATCATAAAATATTAATAATACTGCAATATCAGAATTTTTAAGACAACTGTTCGGCCCTTTCAATTCCCACAGCTCTCTGGTCAAAATATCTATCCTTGAAGTAACTTTATTTTCACCCAGTAAGTAGATAACTGGTTTGGTGCCACGAAGAAAGTGACCTTCCTTCTGTTGGGGCCATGTCACTGGATCAGATTCAGGTAATACAATTCTTTCGTGATGCGTTCTGATTATTGATAACACAGTAGAAACTTCACAAGTATTCCTAAGATTAACAGTTAATCTTTTTGAGTTAACAAACAAACTTCTCAATTGATCACCAAAAGCTGACACTGGATATTCAATTTCGCTGTTTTTAAATTGTTCAAGTTTATATAAGACCGATTGTGCATAATCACATAGTATCCAAACACTAGTCTTGCTAGTTGTGCTCTCCTTAATGATATGCAGTATGCCCTCAAATATAGTGTTTTTATCAGCATACTTTCTTTTTGTCTCAAGATGGATTCGATGAAAATCAAGTAAGCTTTGAAAATCATCCACGAAAACGTAATCGAAATTCGTCATGACACTTTTCATACTTACAGCTGTATGTGCTCTCCTTACTACCAGCAATATAATCTTACTGCTACTATCTGACAATTGTTGTAACATTAACCTGCCTGCTTCTTCAACCTTATCATTTATATCATCAACAGTATCATTATCATTATCATCTTCATAATCGTATGCTATTTGTTCACACAAAGTAACATGCTCAATGATATTGTTTAGAAAATTTAAGTGACGTTCTACCATCGGATACTCTTTAAACCTAGTGACATCATATGGTATAATCAAAAGGATCCTTTTCTCAGGGGATGTTGTTAAAGCCATATGGATTATTTTTCCAAGCATTACGATAGTTTTACCGGAACCAGCAGAGCCGTCCACCCAGAGGAATCTCTCCTCACTTTCAAATATATCTAACTGATCTTTTGTTAAGCTTTTAATATTAAGGTAGTTTTGGAATAAACTAGGTGCATCTACCATTTCAGGGTTTTTAGGATACTCTTTCTTAGAACTGGTTTTCTTTCTCCCCTTATTTTTACCAGAAGATCTGTTCACTTCAGCAGCAACCTCATCTACTGACTTTCTTGTTACAAGAGCTCTTCTAAGTTTACTGTCAATGTCCATTATACATTTAGGTAAGCTACAAGTGGTGATGTCCCATTTGTTATCTTGATCAATACACCACAGACCTAGCAAACACCATGCCACATTCTTCATTATCCCCGATTTTAAAGCATTCGATGAGGACACTTCACAACTATCAATGATATGAACCAAGTGGTCGAGATCTTCACTGAACAGTAAAGTTTCATCAGACAAATACTTCTCATCTACTTCTTCTCTAGAGACGTTACTTAACAAAGTAAACTCGTACACCCTCAGAGAGGAATCTACTGATCTGATAAGATCCACCATTCTCTTTCTTTGTCTGGAGGCATCCTCAACACAACCCTTCATTTTAAGTTTACCTTCCTCTTCAGTACAACTCTGTAGAGACAATCCTTTCACTTCAAACACAGCCACAAAACTCATTCCTATCACCACAAAATCAGTCTCACCCTCCACATTCTTCTTTGGTTGATGACAATCGTGGGTTTCTAACCCTCTCTTGCACATTTTCACATTACACTGATGATCTGGCAGGAATGCAGCATATTGTTCGTGAGTGTAATCCAGCTGATGTATAACTATGACATTACTCTTAACCTCCTCAAAACATCTGAACACCTTCACTTCAGCTTCATACCCTTCCTGAAGCTCTCTCTCGGCAGCATTCTGTCCTTCTAACTCCACATCTTCAGGCAGCTTGTCTATAAATTTGGAATCAGGTATCGGAGGTATCATTATTCGTCCCCTGATCTCATCTCCTTTCTGACAATAGTTATCCAGAACTTGCTGTCCTACTTTGGTTATTCTTTTACGTAGTCCAGACATCACCTGATAAGAAAATAAGGTGTTAAAACAAATAGTGGTACGTATAATAAAGACTGTGTTAAAATATAATTAACAGGAAAGTAGTTGTTCTGTTAACACTTATTTTAACGGGAAATTATTCTTACTCTTTTGTATGATCGTCAATCCCAATCAGAATAGATTTATTGGAAACCAACGATATTTCACGAAATTCTTCTCAGCTATCCAAAAATCAACTTTTAATACATTTTCAACCATCGTATTGTAAGAATAATGATAGAAATATATGTGGGGTCAAATTCGACGATTTGAAAAACCGGCCAATATCAAATAGACAAGGGATCTATTTTGATATTCAACTTCTTAAAATAGGAATAAGCAGCTGCTATATAATAAACAAGTTAAATGTACCGAGCTAGACTAAGTTACTACGTAGAGTTAATTAAAAGAACAAATCAAGAAAGTAATCAACTTACCAGTTACCAGTAGTTTAAGTAGTTCACTGTCTTTACATACTGACCTAGATCAATTAGATAATTAGTTCGATAATTAATTAGATAATTAATTAGGGAATAATAGAACTGGATACTTGTGGGGAGGTGAACAATATTTAGTACAAAATGTGACATTGATTCTGTGTTGTAATTGAGGAATACTGGAAACTAATTGGTTAATAGCTGTCACGTGTTATTAAAACATAGTTCATCTCCCACCAGTACTCAGATCAACGATTATATTATATTATCATAATATTATGTAGTTTCTAATGATCACGAAATTCGTCACCTTATAGTTTTTCACATTGAGCGTATTTTGTAGCCCTCAAAATTAGGGCAATTTGTAGACAATGTATGAAATCTAGCTAAAATAATATAAATGTAACTTTCAAACATGGCAAAAATATTCTCACAGAAAAATACAGTAGCATTAAAGTATGAATATAATTTAATTTAAAAACTCATCGTGAATAAATACACTGACAAAAGAGGTTGTCATGACATTTAGTTTCTGTTTCAAAAACACTGCGTAAAACATTTCGTTTACTTTCTTCAATAAAAATTTGATGAAATATCTGTAAATGAAAATATATATAAATAAAATTGCAATACAATTTGTTTCAATATCCATGGCTTTCTCAACTGAAAACATTGTAATTAATTACAAAAGTCTTAACGAGTGTCTTAAAGCACTGTAAATTAACACTGACAAGACGTGGCAACAATCAATACAGTTCAACGATCCTACAAACATCATTACGCTGCTTTAGTTCTTCTAAACATTTATCAAAAAATTGACAAGTGTTGGGCGTGTAATTGAATACAATCACTGTTGAGTACACTCTGGCTCTGGAGATTGCAGTGTATAGATACGGAAAAGAGAGACTGAATGCAGTGTTATCATTGTTGACAGGTGAGCTATGTGATGGAAAATCGAGCAGTGTTATAACAGCCGGCCACTCAGCTGACATAGACCATATTGCTGGAAGAAACGTTATCTTATCGTCTGGTGTATTCCATCTCTCAAGTATACTTTCTGGAGTAGTCATCAGAGTAGGATCAAGAAAATATGTTAATACTGCAATATCAGAATTTTTAAGAATGTTCGACCCTTTCAATTTCCCGAGCTCTCTTCTCAGAATATCAATCCATGAAGTAGATTTACTTTCACCCACTAAGTAGATAACTGGTTTGGTGCCACGAAGAAAGTGACCTTCCTTTTGTTGGGGCCATGTCACTGGACTTGCTCCAGGTAATACCATTCTTTCGTGGTGCGTTCTGATTATTGATAACACAGTAAAAATTTCACAACTATTCCTAAGATTAACAGTTAATCTTTTTGAGTTAACAAAGAAACTTCTCAATTCATCACCAAAAGTTAACGCTGGAAATTCAAGTTTTTTAAATCTATCTATGACCACCGATTGTGCATTATCACATAGTATCCAAACGCTAGTCGTGCTCTCCTTAACGATAGAGAGTATGCCCTCAAATATGATGTTTTCATCAGCATACTTTCTGTTTGTCGTAAGACTAAAGCCAAGACTAAGGCCAAGGCTGCCTTCATGAACATCGAGTAAGTTTTGAAAATCATCCAAGAAAACGTATTCAAAATTCGTCATGAAACTTTAATGCTTACAGCTGCAGGTGCTCTCCTTATTACCAGCAATATAATCTTACTGCTACTATCTGACAATTGTTGTAACATTAACCTGCCTGCTTCTTCAATCTTCTCACTTATATCATCCTCAGTATCATTATCATTAACATCACAATCGTATGATATCTTTTCACACAAAGTAACATCCTCAATGATATTGTTCAGTAAATTTAAGTGACGTTCTACCATTGGACTGCTTGAATACCCTTATACCTATCGCCATAAGGTATAATCAAAAGGATCCTTTTCTCAGGCGGTGTTGTTAAAGCCAAATGAATTATTTTTCCAAGCATTACGATAGTTTTACCGGAACCAGCAGGGCCGTCCACCCAGAGGAATCTCTCCTCACTTTCAAATATATCTAACTGATCTTTTGTTAAGCTTTTAATATTAAGGTAGTTTTGGAATAAACTAGGTGCATCTACCATTTCAGGGTTTTCAGGATATTCTTTCTTAGAACTGGTTTTCTTTCTCCCCTTATTTTTACCAGAAGATCTGTTCACTTCAGCAGCAACCTCATCTACTGACTTTCTTGTTACAAGAGCTCTTCTAAGTTTACTATCAATGTCCATTATACATTTAGGTAAGCTACAAGTGGTGATGTCCCATTTGTTATCTTGATCAATACACCACAGACCTAGCAAACACCATGCCACATTCTTCATTATCCCCGGTTTTAAAGCATTCGATGAGAACACTTCACAACTATCAATGATATGAACCAAGTGGTCGAGATCTTCACTGAACAGTAAAGTTTCATCAGACAAATACTTCTCATCTACTTCTTCTCTAGAGACGTTACTTAACAAAGTAAACTCGTACACCCTCAGAGAGGAATCTACTGATCTGATAAGATCCACCATCCTCTTTCTTTGTCTGGAGGCATCCTCAACACAACCCTTCATTTTAAGTTTACCTTCCTCTTCAGTACAACTCTGTAGAGACAATCCTTTCACTTCAAACACAGCCACAAAACTCATTCCTATCACCACAAAATCAGTCTCACCCTCCACATTCTTCTTTGGTTGATGACAATCGTGGGTGTCTAACCCTCTCTTGCACATTTTCACATTACACTGATGATCTGGCAGGAATGCAGCATATTGTTCGTGAGTGTAATCCAGCTGATGTATAACTATGACATTACTCTTAACCTCCTCAAAACATCTGAACACCTTCACTTCAGCTTCATACCCTTCCTGAAGCTCTCTCTCGGCAGCATTCTGTCCTTCTAACTCCACATCTTCAGGCAGCTTGTCTATAAATTTGGAATCAGGTATCGGAGGTATCATTATTCGTCCCCTGATCTCATCTCCTTTCTGACAATAGTTATCCAGAACTTGCTGTCCTACTTTGGTTATTCTTTTACGTAGTCCAGACATCACCTGATAAGCAAATAAGGTATTAAAACAAATAGTGGTACTTATAATAAAGGTTTGACTGTGTTCTGATATAAAATTAAGGGGCCATCTAGTTAGGACGTCCGCCACAATCGCGAATTTCATACCACATTTCAGTATGTCCAAATTTTCAAAACCTGCCCCCTCCCCGGCCGTCTGGATTTCCAGCTACTTTTAATAGTACAAATAAAACCAACTCAAATTCCAAAGCAACCCCCCCCCCCCCCCCCCCCCCCCCCCCCGTATTTGCAGGACGTCCTAAGTAGATGGCCCCTAACAGGAAATTGTTCATTCGCTATTAATATGATCCTCTATCACAACTAGGTACGGACACTGATAGATTTATAGTAAACCCACGATATTAACCCGCAAGGCCACTCTTTTGCCAATTTTCAAATAAAATTACTTTGGGCTTACTTACCAGGAACCAGTAGTTCACTGTCTTTACATACTGTCCTAGACAATTAGAAAATTAGTTAGATAATTAGTTAGATAATTAATTAGATAATTAATTAGGGAATAATAGATCTGGATACTTGTGGGGAGGTGAACAATATTTAGTGCAAAACGAGTCATCGATTCTGGACAATTTTTTGACATAGAATCTAGCTAAAATAAAAACGTGTAAAATCCGGATTGGAGTATTATTTATGAGTCGCATTGTTGTAATGTATTCTGGGTAAAATTATCTTTATCCCGGTTGTTGCGACAAGTAAAAAATGCTCTTATTAGGGAAAGGAGATTACTCGACGTTTCAATGTAACTACATCGTATTCATGATCTCAAATTATTTGTTATATAGTAGTGTTGAAAGTATTAAAATTTTACCCAGAATACATAAAATAAAAACAGCATAACTCTAAAACATGGCAAAAATAATCTCACAGAAAAATACAACAGAATTAGTATGAACATAATTGAATTTTAAAAATCATCGTGAATGAATAAATCAAACGGAAACTAAACCGGGACAGAAGTGGTTGTCATGACAACCGGAACAGAAGTAAATCTGCAATTATTTAAGGACAGATACTGCATACCACCAATAAGATGATCACTTGTTAGACTCTAGATTCTATAAATGCTTTAGTAAGTTAGTACTATACATTATACAATGTGTGTTTGTAATACATAAAACAAAGACAAAACCCTTCGCAATTCTTTGCATTAAGACGGAAATAGACTTCAAATCATGGTCAGATCTAGATCAATCGTCCAATTATTTTGATTTTTTAATGGGACCTCATTTTTAATCTCAAACAAGGAATACACCAGTAATCAACATATTAACATAATTATTTCTCATAATTTTATTATCAAGAGAAGCCTTTTAGAGAAGATTAAGATTTTATCCAAACTACAGCTCAAAAAATTAACAAGCTGATAACTTCCTACTCCTTACGGAGGTAAAAACTAAAGCTAAAATGACCACAAATTGTCACTAGCTACAAGTGAAGCTGCTGCTGGAAAATGTCTGTGTCATGTTCAACTTAGGAATATCTGCTCAGATATAAACTAAAACTGAGCAATTGACTGCTGCTGATAACGTGATACACTGAAATATACATATCCAGCGTACAGGTAACGCTGGATGTTATTTTCTTGGATCTGAACTAAAATTGTATTTATCGCAGTTTGCTGCAGCAGAGGACGAGATTAACTAAAACTGGAGTTCACTGTTTCTAAGGAAACTAAAACTGGAGTTCACTGTTTCTAAGGAAACTAAAACTGGAGTTCACAGTTTCTAAGGAAACTAAAACTGGAGTTCACTGTTTCTAAGGAAACTAAAACTGGAGTTCACTGTTTCTAAGGAAACTAAAACTGGAGTTCACTGTTTCTAAGGAAACTAAAACTGGAGTTCACTGTTTCTAAGGAAACTAAAACTGGAGTTCACTGTTTCTAAGGAAACTAAAACTGGAGTTCACTGTTTCTAAGGAAACTAAAACTGGAGTTTGCTGTTGCTAAGGAAACTAAAACTGGAGTTTGCTGTTTCTAAGGAAACTAAAACTGGAGTTTGCTGTTTCTAAGGAAACTAAAACTGGAGTTTGCTGTTGCTGAAAGATATCCCTTCACTGGCGTCCTCACTGTCCTCACTGTCGTACAGATCTCCCAGATCTGTGTCTCTGCTGAACGACAGAGACTGGATCTTGTTGAGCCGCGCAATACACTGAAAGTGAAAGTGAAAGTGAAAGAAAACAAAATTGCAGATTTATTAATAATCTCATGGACGCTTTCAACGCTTTTTCCAGTTCTTTTGAGAACAGAATTTTAAGTACCAGTTATTAATAATTGTTACAGATAACGCAAGTCACTGAAAGAAAAAATTGCAGATTTCTAAATTACAGAAAGTTATTTTATGGGAGATTTTCAACACTGTTTCCAGTTCTTTTGAAAACTGAATCCCTTAAGTTTTAAGTTTCAGTTATTATTATTCGATGATAAGACTTTTCCATGTTCTTCATTTGTTGATCTAATAAAATAACTCTCACCTCATCACCACTAGAAGTGTGGTCTGTTAGCCCAGGTGATACAGGACTATCTGTAGTGACAATCCGATCACTTCCGGGAGAAACTGGGCTGTCTCTAGCAAAAACAGGGCTGTCTCTACTTCTACCAAGGCGAGGGCTGTCTCCCGCTAAAACGGAAATATCTGTGGCTGATAAAGGACTGTCCCTAGCTAAAACAGGACTGTCTCTAGCTAAAACAGGACTGTCTCTAGCTAAAACAGGACTATCGTCGGATAGAAGTGGACTCCTAGTTCGCGATAACATGGGACTGTTGGAGATAAAGTCCGGCGTTTCAGCTGGACCTGGGCTACCTTTTGTCTTGTACCCGCTGTTTGATGCCCCTTCTTTATCACTTGTGTGGGGGTTATCATAGTTTTGTGAAATCAGATCAGTACTTGAAACTTCCACGCTAGATCCAGGACAGGCTTCACCTACTTCTGGGCTAGTTCCACCCGCAAAAATAATGTCATCATAATCGGGCCGATCTACAACAAACGTTTCCACACCCAACTCGGCCAAATCGGCCGAGTCACTCTCTACATAGCCCATGTCTCTTGATGACCTCATCATGTCTTTCTCTGAAATCACGTCCTCTTCAATAGCTTCAGTAGCTTCAGAAAACTCTCCTGATACCTCCAATGTGGGCACGACCTCTTCAATAGCTTTAGTGGCCTCTGAAAACTCTCCTGATACCTCCAATGCGGACGCAAAGTCCCCTCTTTCTTCTCCATCGGGATTATCCAGTTCGAGATGAGGAGAAGTGAAGACGGAAGAATAAGGTGTTGGAGCAGGAGTGTCATAGTCTGAGAGAGATTCCATCTCATTGTCCGGGTTTGCACTCAGATTCAAAGTCAAGTTAGAAGGTGAGATGATCAGCCCTTCGAAGAGATTCCCTTTCTCTGGCGCTCCCTGCTTGTCCTCCTCCCCAATACACGTGTTGTCCTCCAGTCTAGACTCCTCCATGCACGTGTTGTAATCATCACAACTACTCGTGTCACTCAGATCCTTGCTGGAGCCAGAAACTGAACTGACGTTGGATCCTTGACGTTGTTCGGGCTCCCCAAACGGGTTCATCCTAAGTCTAGGACTGGATCCAAGATTGGAACCTGTCTGAGCTGGACTGGAGCCAAGTTTAGAGTAAAGATCTGCTGAGCCGGACAGGTTGTAGTAGGAAGAGTTAAAGTGTTTGATGACAGGTACATTGAGGGGAGACACAGGCTCTAGTGAGCTGTACTCGTCATTAGCAGCTTCTAGATCACTGCGGGTGGGGGACAGGTTTTATTGGCTTATAGTAAAATTTATTGGTCAGAAGAATTAACTAAATATGCGATGAGATGAAAAGGAATGGCATGAATTTTACAAAAATCTAAAAAAACCGAGCACAACCAAACAAACAATAAACCACATACCCGTCATCGCAGCTACTGGTATGATCCAGACAGGTAGAGCTGCCCTGATGGGACGCACTCAGCCCCATCAGGGCCCCACCGGGAGAGGACATGTAAGGCTGGGGTGGTGATGTGGAGGGGGCAGAGGACGCGAACGCTTGCGCAGGGTCCCAGTCGTAGGTGCGCGTTTGAGAGGGTGTGCTTCCTGGGGGAGTTTGTAATAGTTTGTGAGTTTTACCCGCCTCTGGTTTTTGGTTATGTCATTATTTTGGTAGCTGTTGCGATTTGAAAAAAGCTTAAAAACAAGATGTCCCACACTTGAAAAAATCACCAGATCAACCACTTCATGCTATTCTATCAACTAATAACTAATTAACTTACATACTTAATTACTTAATTAGTAAATTATCATTTATTTAATTAATTAACATACTTAATCAATTAATTAGTAAATTAACATACTTAATTCAGAGATAGCTGGAGAAAGAGCCTCCCCCTCCTCAGCAAGCTCTGCTTCGGAGTCAGAGTGTGAGCTCTCGGTGGTCGCTACCGAGGAATCGTGCAGGATTGTGTTCCAGCGGTGCTCATCTGAAATGTGTCACTTATTAATTAATTAATTAATTAATTAACTGGTTAATTAGCAAGTTATTGTTTATTATTGACTTCTCGTCTTCGTACGAAAATCTGTTTTACTTACAGGCTACAGCTGTTTAGGCTCGAACCGCTCTCAAATTTCTTCAAACAACATTTTTTTACTGGCTCGAAGATGAATGATGATTGGGTCGCTCATGTTATTATTATATGTTAATGATCCCTAACAGAACAAACCTGGCGATGGTTCCTGAGCGAATGCAGTGGGAACCTGGTCGGAAGTAGTACCGAAGAAGGGCAGTGTTGAAGGGCCCTGGCTCGCCGACCCCTTCACACGGGTGTTCTTAGCTTTCTTTTTCTCCTTCTCTACAGGGAGTAATGTGGTGGGGACAGGGCAATTATAAGTGTATTTTAGAACTGTCTAGGTAAAATGAGTATGTAATGATAATTGTCAGTCATCAAATTAGGTAAAAGTAAAATTGGTTGATAACATGACGATGATCACTTATTTAGAAGAATTTATTACTTTTTCAAAATTCAACTGGACTGACTATTGATTTTAAAAGAGCTTAAGAGCTATGTCTCTAAAATACCAGAATACGTCAGGCATACTTACCAGAAAAGCCTTTTCCGTCCACTAGGATGTCAGTTCTCCTACATGCTTGAGTGAACATGCACAGAACTTTGTTACGATACGATCTGCTCTTCGAGAGTGGGTTCTCTGAAATTACAAACATTTCATTTTAAGACAGTTAATTAATTTTCATGAAGACTAGGAAGTTTTCCAAGTCACGATACCACAGATATGATTTTGTTGATCATCTTAAACCCCCAATTTTGCAGGAATACTTCATTACTCAACCAGACCATCACATTACCCAACTGTCCAAAGTTAATCTTTTCAAGATTATATCCTACAATATATCCTACAATATATCCTACAATATACCCTACAATATATCCTACAAATACAATATATCCTACAATATATCCTACAATGTACCCTACAATATACCCTACAATATATCCTACAATATACCCTACAACATACCCTACAATATATCCTACAATATATCCTACAATATATCCTACAATATATCCTACAAAATATCCTACAATATACCCTACAATGTACCCTACAATACATCCTACAATATACCATACAACATATCCTACAATATACCCTACAATATATCCTACAATATATCCTACAATATACCCTACAATATATCCTACAATACACCCTACAATATATCCTACAATGTACCCTACAATATACCCTACAATATACCCCACAATATACCCTACAATATACCCTACAATATATCCTACAATATACCCTACAATATATCCTACAATATATCCTACAATATATCCTACAATATACCCCACAATATACCCCACAATATACCCCACAATATATCCTACAATATATCCTACAATATACCCTACAATATATCCTACAATATACCCTACAATATATCCTACAATATATCCTACAATATACCCTACAATATATCCTACAATATATCCTACAATATACCCTACAATATATCCTACAATATATCCTACAATATATCCTACAATATATCCTACTATATATCCTACAATATACCCTACAATATATCCTACAATATACCCTACAATATATCCTACAATATACCCTACAATATATCCTACAATACACCCTACAATATACCCTACAATATATCCTACAATATACCCTACAATATATCCTACAATATACCCTACAATATACCCTACAATATATCCTACAATATATCCTATAATATATCCTACAATATATCCTATAATATATCCTACAATATATCCTACAATATACCCTACAATATATCCTATAATATATCCTACAATATATCCTACAATATACCCTACAATATACCCTACAATGTATCCTACAATATATCCTACAATACATCCTACAATACACCCCCACTTACCAGCGATAGCGATGTCGTGTAACCTAGGTAGGTCTGTTAAACACGCAATATTATCTACAGACGTTACACAGTTGCTATGGAGATCTAGTTTTCTCAGCATCACAATCTTGTTAAACCCTGTCAGCTCAGTTAACTGGTTGTTTGATAGGATCAGCTCGGAGAGGTTCTCGTGTGTCTAAAAGTAACGTTGTCGTGAGATTAATGAGATCCATTGGGATCGATTTATTTATTTTTGAAGAAAATAATACAAGGCTGAAAGCAACACGGCCAAAGTCCCTCGGATCTACGACCACAAAAAAAGGATCCATAGGGTAATGAGTCAACAAATAAAGTTAAATACATTTTTAACCAAGAATTCGAATAAATCACTGTCAAAAGTTGTATGAATTTGTTATAAGTTTTCTATAAGTCGTATAAAATAACCTACCTTGGTGATGACCTTCATGACACTGCAGTGAGTACACACTAATTTAGTGAGAGCCGGGTTAATGTAGTTCAGGTCCAACACTTCTATCTGGTTGTAACTCACATCCAACTCCTGGAAGCGTTAGAACTTAAGATTAAAGCAAGAATAATAACATAAACTTCAACACTGCTTTTAAACATTCTTCCTAATTTCTTCATTATCAGAACTGTGAATTTAGGTTAGAGGTCATTATAGAGGCGATAGATAGAGACTACGAGTATCGACTACGATGTGTATCTTGTATAGGTCCTTGCTTGTGATTGTATGAATTAGGGTGTGGTATTTACTGACGGGGAAATTTCAAAACACAGTTCATTTTACCTGGCAACAAATCAAGTGAAGGCTGAAGCCGTCTTTTTGGCGAAATAATTTAAATACAACATTAATTTCACATTTCTAATACTCCAATAATATTACAGTACGTGATCTGCGCGGGAGGTACATCTCATCATTACACTGTTCGTGCGCCCCACGTAAAAGGTACAAAATCTGAACTCTTATGTTTGCCCCATTGCGACAGAGCTATATTTAAATTTACTTCTTTCAGTATACTGTATCATAATGTTTTATCGTCCAAATTTCACTGAAGATTCATTAAGTCCGATCAAGCTGAGCACAAAACAAGCGCCCTGATGAATAATGTGCCTGTTTAGCAATGTTTGTAGCAGAACGGGGCTTTCAGAATCCATCACTCGATAAAAAACGGTGGATAAATACCGGAGCTGAGGTGAGATGAGGACTTTATTGGGTCTATAAAACCCCCACAGTTGACTGAGCACAATGGTCGGGGAACGGAGGGTTAGATTAAGAAGGGACTCCCGGACTCCAAAATATCTTGAATCTTGTCCCTTCATTTAAACTTTTAAAGTATATCGCTGAGAAAATAACGACTTCAACAATTTGAGAGTGGAATGCTATCATCTGGTTTAGAGTGAAATTGGTTTAGAGTGAAATTGGATGCCTCTGAATTGCTAATAAGGTTGTAGTGATTATTTGGAGCACGACTACAAGCATTTCAGTCTTATTTCGTCAGTTTTATCAGTTCCTCCCCAAAGGGAGGTGAGCCTTGCCCCGAGGTACTGCAATACGGGGAAGACTCGTGGTCTGGCTGAAGCAAGCTTCACATCCGAGACGGATTTCCAAAAATCAATTTAATATTGAAGCTACTCGATGAGAAGCGTATCAGATATTAAACTGATAAGAACAGATACTACACTTGATCTTAGCCAAAAGGCCGAGAAGCGATAAAATTGAACCGGTGTTTGAGGCCTATATCATGCATCAAAAATATATCCTTGCGTTTGAAATAGATCAAAGATATACATTCGATCGAAGAGCCAAAAATATATTCCGAAAAATGTAGACAAAATTTAGACTGGTATGTTTTGAGGTAATCTCAGGTAAAGACAAAATGAGATGAAATTCAAATCACAATTTTTAAATGACGTAACTTCTTCGAAAATTTGGGCATTTCAATCGAACAGCTGTGTAATTCAGCTTAATGATGTTATTATAAAACTAAATTATTAATCTATACTCAACTATATCAAGTTTAACTAAAGATCAATTATTAAGATAACCTAACCCTACCGTGTTGACTAGTGTACGATACTCTTTACCGTGCGTTATTGTGATTATTGGTCGCTATACGGCTGAGTGAGTACAGTGTGTAGTGCGAGAATACTTGTGAGCAGGCAGAGTTTATCACAGGTACGCCCCTGTAGGACTAGTCTGGTTGGCCTGCCTCTATAAATACCTGGCAACCTGTTTATCACAGGTACGCCCCTGTAGGACTAGTCTGGTTGGCTGCCTCTATAAATACCTGGTAACCTGTTTATCACAGGTACGCCCCTGTAGGACTAGTCTGGTTGGCTGCCTCTATAAATACCTGGCAACCTGTTTATCACAGGTACGCCCCTGTAGGACTAGTCTGGTTGGCTGCCTCTATAAATACCTGGTAACCTGTTTATCACTGGTACGCCCCTGTAGGACTAGTCTGGTTGGCTGCCTCTATAAATACCTGGCAACCTGTTTATCACAGGTACGCCCCTGTAGGAGTAGTCTGGTTGGCTGCCTCTATAAATACCTGGTAACCTGTTTATCACAGGTACGCCCCTGTAGGACTAGTCTGGTTGGCCGCCTCTATAAATACCTGGTAACCTGTTTATCACAGGTACGCCCCTGTAGGACTAGTCTGGTTGGCTGCCTCTATAAATACCTGGCAACCTGTTTATCACAGGTACGCCCCTGTAGGACTAGTCTGGTTGGCTGCCTCTATAAATACCTGGCAACCTGTTTATCACAGGTACGCCCCTGTAGGACTAGTCTGGTTGGCTGCCTCTATAAATACCTGGCAACCTGTTTATCACAGGTACGCCCCTGTAGGAGTAGTCTGGTTGGCTGCCTCTATAAATACCTGGCAACCTGTTTATCACAGGTACGCCCCTGTAGGACTAGTCTGGTTGGCTGCCTCTATAAATACCTGGTAACCTGTTTATCACAGGTACGCCCCTGTAGGACTAGTCTGGTTGGCTGCCTCTATAAATACCTGGCAACCTGTTTATCACAGGTACGCCCCTGTAGGAGTAGTCTGGTTGGCTGCCTCTATAAATACCTGGTAACCTGTTTATCACAGGTACGCCCCTGTAGGAATAGTCTGGTTGGCTGCCTCTATAAATACCTGGTAACCTGTTTATCACAGGTACGCCCCTGTAGGACTAGTCTGGTTGGCTGCCTCTATAAATACCTGGTAACCTGTTTATCACAGGTACGCCCCTGTAGGACTAGTCTGGTTGGCTGCCTCTATAAATACCTGGCAACCTGTTTATCACAGGTACGCCCCTGTGGGACTAGTCTGGTTGGCTGCCTCTATAAATACCTGGCAACCTGTTTATCACAGGTACGCCCCTGTAGGACTAGTCTGGTTGGCTGCCTCTATAAATACCTGGCAACCTGTTTATCACAGGTACGCCCCTGTAGGAGTAGTCTGGTTGGCCGCCTCTATAAATACCTGGCAACCTGTTTATCACAGGTACGCCCCTGTAGGAGTAGTCTGGTTGGCCGCCTCTATAAATACCTGGTAACCTGTTTATCACAGGTACGCCCCTGTAGGACAAGTCTGGTTGGCTGCCTCTATAAATACCTGGCAACCTGTTTATCACAGGTACGCCACTGTAGGACTAGTCTGGTTGGCTGCCTCTATAAATACCTGGCAACCTGTTTATCACAGGTACGCCCCTGTAGGACTAGTCTGGTTGGCTGCCTCTATAAATACCTGGTAACCTGTTTATCACAGGTACGCCCCTGTAGGACTAGTCTGGTTGGCTGCCTCTATAAATACCTGGCAACCTGTTTATCACAGGTACGCCCCTGTAGGACTAGTCTGGTTGGCTGCCTCTATAAATACCTGGCAACCTGTTTATCACAGGTACGCCCCTGTAGGAGTAGTCTGGTTGGCTGCCTCTATAAATACCTGGTAACCTGTTTATCACAGGTACGCCCCTGTAGGACTAGTCTGGTTGGCTGCCTCTATAAATACCTGGCAACCTGTTTATCACAGGTACGCCCCTGTAGGACTAGTCTGGTTGGCTGCCTCTATAAATACCTGGCAACCTGTTTATCACAGGTACGCCCCTGTAGGAGTAGTCTGGCTGGCTGCCTCTATAAATACCTGGCAACCTGTTTATCACAGGTACGCCCCTGTGGGACTAGTCTGGTTGGCTGCCTCTATAAATACCTGGTAACCTGTTTATCACAGGTACGCCCCTGTAGGACTAGTCTGGTTGGCTGCCTCTATAAATACCTGGCAACCTGTTTATCACAGGTACGCCCCTGTAGGACTAGTCTGGTTGGCTGCCTCTATAAATACCTGGTAACCTGTTTATCACAGGTACGCCCCTGTAGGACTAGTCTGGTTGGCTGCCTCTATAAATACCTGGCAACCTGTTTATCACAGGTACGCCCCTGTAGGACTAGTCTGGTTGGCTGCCTCTATAAATACCTGGCAACCTGTTTATCACAGGTACGCCCCTGTAGGACTAGTCTGGTTGGCTGCCTCTATAAATACCTGGCAACCTGTTTATCACAGGTACGCCCCTGTAGGACTAGTCTGGTTGGCTGCCTCTATAAATACCTGGCAACCTGTTTATCACAGGTACGCCCCTGTAGGACTAGTCTGGTTGGCTGCCTCTATAAATACCTGGCAACCTGTTTATCACAGGTACGCCCCTGTAGGACTAGTCTGGTTGGCTGCCTCTATAAATACCTGGCAACCTGTTTATCACAGGTACGCCCCTGTAGGACTAGTCTGGTTGGCTGCCTCTATAAATACCTGGCAACCTGTTTATCACAGGTACGCCCCTGTAGGACTAGTCTGGTTGGCTGCCTCTATAAATACCTGGCAACCTGTTTATCACAGGTACGCCCCTGTAGGACTAGTCTGGTTGACTGCCTCTATAAATACCTGGCAACCTGTTTATCACAGGTACGCCCCTGTAGGACTAGTCTGGTTGACTGCCTCTATAAATACCTGGCAACCTGTTTATCACAGGTACGCCCCTGTAGGAGTAGTCTGGTTGGCTGCCTCTATAAATACCTGGTAACCTGTTTATCACAGGTACGCCCCTGTAGGACTAGTCTGGTTGGCTGCCTCTATAAATACCTGGCAACCTGTTTATCACAGGTACGCCCCTGTAGGACTAGTCTGGTTGGCTGCCTCTATAAATACCTGGCAACCTGTTTATCACAGGTACGCCCCTGTAGGACTAGTCTGGTTGGCTGCCTCTATTAATACCTGGTAACCTGTTTATCACAGGTACGCCCCTGTAGGACTAGTCTGGTTGGCTGCCTCTATAAATACCTGGCAACCTGTTTATCACAGGTACGCCCCTGTAGGACTAGTCTGGTTGGCTGCCTCTATAAATACCTGGCAACCTGTTTATCACAGGTACGCCCCTGTAGGACTAGTCTGGTTGGCTGCCTCTATAAATACCTGGTAACCTGTTTATCACAGGTACGCCCCTGTAGGACTAGTCTGGTTGGCTGCCTCTATAAATACCTGGCAACCTGTTTAT